TCAGCCATATGCCTTCACCTTTGGAACAAGGGAAGTACAGAGCATAAGGATAAGGAAGGCTGTGTATAAGTTTCATAGATCCCACCTGTCTTTTTTTTTCTTTTGTGGTACTAGGGATTGAATTGAGGGCCTTCACACTGAGCCACATCCCTAGACCTTTTATTGTTTTTTATTTTGAGAGTTGCTAGGCTGGGTTCAAACTTGAGACCCTCCTGCCTCAGTCTCCACGAGTTCATCCTCACATTCCTGATGTTGATGGTTACTTGGTTAAGGAGGTATTCACCAGGTGTCTCCATTGTGAAGTGACCTTTTCTCCCATCATAATAGAGAGAGACTGTGGGGTGATACTCTGATACCATAGGAATGTAGTGTCCCCATCACATTTCACCAATTTTGTACTCACTGACGATGTGTGCCTTAACCAATTATTACAGTGCTGTTTGCCAGATACAGATTTCTAATTCCATCATTTCTTCTACATTAATTAGTTGAAATTCCTCTGTAAGGAAAGGCTTTCCCTTCTCCATTTGTTTAGTTAGATCAGTTTGGGCTCATAGATTCTTTTTTTTTTAAATTCCCATTCATAGCCAGGGCTGGTAGCACATGCCTGTAATCCCAGCACTCTTGGAGACTAATGCAGGAGGACTGCAAGTTCAAGACTAGCTTGGGCAATTTAGTTATTTATCGAGACCCTATCTCAAAATAAAAAATAAAAAAGAGCTGAGCATGTAGTTCAGTACAAAAGCCCTGGGTTCGATCTCTAAGTACTGAGTAAATAAATAAATCATATTAAAAAACAGACTGGGCATGGTGCCGTACACCTGTAATCCCAGCAGTTGAGAGGCTGAGGCAGAAAGGATCGTTGAGAGTTCATGGCCAGCCTGGGCTACATACTGAGTTCAAGGCCAGCCTGGACTATATAGTGAGACCCTGTCTCAAAAGCAAAAAAAATTCACAAAGGGCCGAGGATTTAGCTCAGTGGTTCTGCCACCTGCCTCACAAGCACAAGGTCCTGAGTTCGATCCCTGGTACCAAAACAAAACAAAACCAAAAATGAAAAACAAAATTCACACGAATTCAATTGGTGGTAAAACAAGATGCTCCAAGTTGATCTTGTACTCTTCCACCCCAGTCCTGGAACCAGACATTTTTCCAAGGGGCCCTGGTTCTTGATAACGGAAAATGATAATTAGACAAGAGAAATCAATTAAAGGCAATCTGATCTCAAACAAGGAAATATACATCTCTTTTTTTCAGATAGTATGATTGTGTATCTGGAAAATTCTAGAGAATCAATAATAAACTGGGCTGGGGATGTAGCTTAGTGGCCCTGGGCCTGCCTGCCAAGTACAAGGTCCTAAGTTCGATCCCCAATACCAAAAAAACCCACAAAACCTATGAAGGTATTCACTATACTTTTTGAAATTATAAAAGTAACAATGAGAGTATCCAGGAGCCAAGAGTGGTGGTGCACACCTGTAATCCCAGCACTCAGGAATCTGAAGCAGGAGGATCACTGCAAGTTAAAAGTCAGCCTGGGCTACATAATGAGTTCAGGGCCAGTTTGAACTACATAGGGAGACCTTGTTTCAAAAAAACAACAACAAAAAAGGAAAAAATATTCAGCAAAGTGGAAGAATATATATGCAACACAGAGAAATCAGTGGCTTTACATATACAAACAATAATCAAAGTATAGATATAATGATTTTTTTTCAGTATAATTATTAAGAAAACCTCTTTTTGGGCCAGGGATTTAGCTCAGTGACACTGCACCTGCCTCGCAAGCGCAAGGTCCTGAGTCTAAGCCCTGGTACAAAAAAAAGAAAAAAGAAAAGAAAACCTCTTTTACAATAGCAGGAAAGGGGATTGGGGATGTGGCTCAGTGAGAGATCACCTGCTTATCAGGTTTGATCCCCAGCATTGTAAAAAAAAGAAAATAATATACTTAGGAAAGAACCTAACAAGATTTTTTTGGAGTGGTCAAGATTGAATCCAGGGCCTCCCACATGCTAGGCAAGGACTTTACTGCTGAGCTATACTTCCAGCAGAATCTAACAAGAAATATGAAAAAAAACTGTATGAGGAAATCTTTAAATTTTTTAAAAATTAAAAATATATTTGACAAAAATTCGTTTGGCAAAACTCATAGGGCTTTATTACACAAAAAAGTTACATCCTAATACTTGCAACTTCAAAAAATCTGATTTTTTTAGGAGTTCTAGAAAAGAATGCAGATTGACAACAAAGGATAAGTGTGTTACAACATGTATGATTTAACCTCACTGCAGAGGGTGGAGGGGGAAGCATACTGAGCAAAGTCACTCTGGAACATAGCGGTTTGATTGTGAACTCCAAGGTCAAAGACAAAAAGAAGTGTACAAAGTAGTTAACTCTATTTGGTAAAGTTGTTTTCAGTGAGCATATGAGTGGATCAGCTATCCTGCTGCTGTACTAAGGTTGAACAATTAAGTAAATGGGTGGTTGTCAGTATGAATTCATGTTTATATTTCTCTTTTTGTGGTGCTGGAAATTGAACACAGAGTCTTAGCACTGAGCTATCTTCCTTGCTGTTTTTTGTTTGTTTGTTGTTGTTCTTTTTTGTTGTTGTTTTGTTTTGGTACCAGGGATCAAACTCAGGACCTTGTGCTTGTGAGGCAGGCAGTGGAACCACTGAGCTAAATCCCCAGCTGTTGTTGTTCTTTTGAAATACAGGGTCTCACTAAGTCACTAAGTGGCCTAGATTGAAACAGAACTTGTGCTCCTCCTTCCTTAGCCTCTCAGAATCCCGGGATTACAGGCATGCCTCACCATGGTGGGCTTATGTTTATCTTAAATACAGACAGATACATAAATAATTAGAGATAGTTGTGTATACATGGATTAATATCCATACATAAATTTTCTAGCTTCTAGGTTGAAATCCAACTGACCAACTGGGAGAAAATATATGCAACATATATTATAGTAAAATGTAACAAAAAATATTGAAAAAGTCTTCAAACATGGTAAGATGTTCATTCTAACTCATAAGAGAAACTCATATTAAAACTATTAAAAAAAGGACCTGAGTTTGATCTCTGGTACCAAAAAAAAAAAAAGCAAACAAACCTACTAAAAAGCCAGGCATTGTAGCACATGCCTATAATCTTAGCATTGGGAAGGCCAAGGCAGGAGGATATCCTAGATGCCAGCCTGGGCTACATTCTGAGTTCAAGGCCAGCCTGAACTGCATAGTGAGATACTATCTCAAAGAAACCAAAAATCAAAAACCAACCAAGGAACAAAAAAACCTATTAGGGATGGGGTATAGCTTATCTGGTAGAGCACTTGCTTAGCATTCATGAGGCTCTAGGTTCATCCCTGGCATGGCAAACCGGAAAAAAAGAGAGAGAGAGAAAAAAAAGACTACACTAAGAGTGGATAACAAAATTGTGATATATCCACACTATGGTATTCTAATCATCAATAAAAGAAAAAAAATGCTGATACACAACTTGGATGAATCTCAAAAGCATGATGCTGAATGACCATCTCATCCCGTTTGTATGAAATTCTACAAAATATAAATACAATCTGTGAGGTAGGAAGTCAGTCAGGCCCTTCCCTGGGATGGGAGGCAGGGGAGGAAGGAAGGACAGGGCAGACAAGCTTTTGGAAATGATCAAAGGTTCTTTTGATTGTGATGATGATTACAAGTTTGCATGAATTTTTCAAAACGCACTGAGTTGTACCCTTAAAATTGGTGCTTTTAGATGTAGAAATAAGTAATGTATCTCAGTAAGCTTCATTAAATTACTAAAGAAATAAAAAAGATCCCTAGCTAAAACTATTTTCCCACAGCAGAGAAATCATATCATTTTTATGGAAAATAAAACAATAAAACTAGAGAGATACTATTTATTACTTTCAGATCGGGGAGCCAAAAGGGTCATAATGCATTTTAGTATTTATTTGTTGTGTATGTATGTATGTGTATGTGTGTGCGCGCGCGCGTGCGCGTGTGCGTGGTTGCGATTGCTGGTTGTTGAACCCAGGCCTGGAGTGATAAGTGCCATTGAGCAGCCCCAGCCTTTTTTTTTTTGTTTTTTCTAATTCAATGTCGGCCCGGGGGTTTAGCTCAGTGGTTCCAGCACCGGCCTCGCAAGCGCAAGGTCCCGAGTTCGATCCCCTGCACGAAAAAAGAAAAAAAAAGTGAATCTAATTCAATGTTATTTTTTCCTGTCAGGTATTTTAAATTTATTGGTGGCTAGGTCCTTTACCTAACATTATGTACAGGATCATGTTAATAAAAATCACTGTCAAATCTTGAAAGGGGGGGCGGGGTCAAAGGCTTCACTCGAGGCGGTATTCCCCTGTGGGGTCGCCCGGAGGAGGGCGGGAACAAGACCAGAACAAAGCTTCCGTTTTCATTTCTATGGTTATTAAATCAACCGTTTTCATTAAAGGAGAAGCGTGGAAGGGTGATTTTTCTGTCGGCAAACACTTCCCTAGCAACGAGTTCACCCAGGAGACGGGGATGCCATAATGTCCAACAACAATAGGTAGTCTATACAAGCTCAAAAGACATATCAAATGACTTACAGCCTGGGAAAATATTACATTACAATTTACCTGACATGTCAGTTTTGTTCTTTTCTCTCCGTCTCTAAAATGCCGAACTTTTGTATTAGGTTCCTCCCCCTCCATTCCTGGCCATTGGTTCGGTCCAACTTTAATACTAACTGGAAGCACCAGCTGCGTCTGCGCAGAAAGCTGAGGGGGGGGGAGGGGGGAGGAACATGGCGCAAGCTCTGTCTGAAGAGGAGTTTCAGCGGATGCAGGTGCTGCTTACCTTGGGGTAGAGCACCGCGCTAGGCAACTGGGAGTGGGATAGGGAGAGGTCGTACCACTGTCTCTGAGAAGCGGTTGGGGTGGACCTTGAGTCTGAAGGGCTGGTTTAGAGAATGGAAACTGAAGCTCAGAGTGGTGAGACTACTGGGCTCCGATATAATATTTGTGTTCTGAAGGTTGGATTCTGTTTGCCTTGTAGGCGGGGGAGAGCGTCCTTGAGTAGGCGATGTCTTACTCAGACCTGAGGGGAAGAGACTTGGGCTCGAGTGTGGGGGTATACCATCGGTTGGTGATGATAACGTTGGGCTCTAAAGGAAGGAGATCCTGACAGGGCGAAACCATTTTGTCTGGAGAGGAAGGAAGCGGGAGTTTGCGTCATGGTTGGGGGGGGGGAACCTTTGAGAGGGCAATACCATTATCCAGTGGGAGGTGGGATGTTTATGAGAGGTAGCACTATGCCAAGGAACTGGGGAAAGACCCCCCGGATGTGTTCATGGGAGGTAGAGAGCCTGTGCCACGGGTGGTAGGGGATCCTAAGAGGGGGCGGTACCATTGGATGATTAGGGTTGATCGCATTAGGCCAAGAAGGCCCTGAATGGGTGATACCATTACTCCCTTATTGTGGGGAGGACCAGAGGAAGTAAATGATACCTTAGAGCTGCGTGGAAGGGAGATCACTGGACTTTTGGGAGATACTCTGACCACTTGATTCCTTTCTTGGGACTCTCAGACTGTGTGAAATATAACATTGTATCATGAGTAGGACTTTCTTGAGAGTTCCTCTCTGTGGGGAGACTTTGAAAGGGAGAAATGCTGAGTCCCAGGGGTGGAAGGGAGGAACTGAGATCATTGGGTCCTGAATGAGGATGCTATTCGGGGATGCTTAGTAAGAGTAATCAAGCTGGCCCATGCAAGGACTTTCACTTGAGAGGCCCTGAAGGGTGTAGGGTCATTCCATTGGATCATGATTGGTGAGATCTTGTGAGAGGTGGAGAGGGGGCTTGAGTAAGAAAGATTGATTCCACTTGGTCATGTGTGAGAGAAAACCACTGGGTTCTTTTGGGGAAGGATTTCAGGGGGTAGAGGAAAGGGTGTTCCAGTTGGATTAGGACTTAAACGAGACCAGTCACTGGGTCCTGGGGAGGACAGGGGAAAGACCTCGAGCAGACCACCCGAGGGAGAGAAGTGGAGGCTAGTACTTTGAGAGGGAGAGAAAGGTCCTGGTGAGGTAGGTGACAGTGAGTGGGTCTAAGATAAACTAGCCTCAGGGCTCACCTGGGCTGGTAGAGAGAAGTGTGCTGTTTGGAATGGCCCATATTTCACTTTCCCTTGATTCTTGAAGGGTGTCTAGACATGTTTTGTGAATTGTGAGAGTAGCAGAGCTCTAAGAGGCATCCTAGTGCAATGGAAGTTGGGGAGAATACCAGACACTCTTCCTTTGGGAAAGAGGTAGGAAGGCAGTCTTCTGTTGCATGCCTTCCGGGGCTTCTAATCTTGTTAGGACAGTGTTCAGTGTGTGAAGAGGTCAGCCAGGATGAGGAGGAGGAACTTCATTCCGTGGGTAAGGAGAATTATGGGATGAATGTGAATAACTGGGTCAGCGCTCTGCCATGGTCTGATGGCTTGAGTGAAGAGTAGATTGGAAAGTGGGGAGATGAAGTGGTGAGGCTGGCCAGGGTTATAAATGGAGCTGGAGAAGGTGGGCCAGGGGCTTGGGTCCTGGCAGCTCATTTAGGATGTAGTATGCACAGATGATAAGGAGTGCCTGAGAAGACACATGGAGGATGGCCATCTAGTCCATAGGGCTTAGAGACATGCTACCCTCATGGTTGAGCATAGGAGTGCTTACCTGACCAATTCTCTTCCCTTCTCTGCTTCCCCCAAAGGCTCAGCTCCTGGAACTCCGGACGAACAACTACCAGCTTTCAGATGAACTACGCAAGAGTGGTGTTGGTGAGCCAAGGGGGTCTCATTATATGGGAGTGGGTTTGTGGGACAGAGGCCAAGGTTTTACTTCAGAGACTTGGCAGGAAGACCCTTCAGTTCCTTGCCACTGCCTGAGGCTGAGATTCCCTGCTTTCCCCGTACTAGAACTTGCCAGTCTTCGACAGAAGGTCGCCTACCTGGATAAGGAGTTCAGTAAAGCTCAGAAGGTACTTCCCTCCACTCACCCATCCATCTGCTCCTTGATCCCCCCTACTCGTCTGACTCATTTATTACTCAGTGAGCACCTACAGTGACCAGACTTAATGTTATGTGCTGTTTTAATGGAATCATTTAAAGAGTTCTTGGCCAGGTGTGATGGTGCACAGCTGTAATTCTAGCACTCAGGAGGAGGATCAAAGCGAGTTCAAGGCCAGCATGAACTACATAGTGATACCCTGTCTCGGGGGGAAAAAAAAAGAATTCTTATGGAAGTCTCTTATTTTGTTAATTTTACCTAATTCTGCTTACTTTATTTTATTTTATATTTTTGAGACAGGGTCTCGCTATGTAGTTCAGGCTGGCCTTGAAACTCACCATATAGCCCAGGGTAGCCTCAAACTCCTGGCAATCCTCCTGCTTCAGCCTCCCTAGTGCTGGGATCACAGGCCTGTGCCAGCATGCTCAGCAACTGTTAATTTTAATTTACTCTTAATTCATTCTAATTTTAGTTACTCATTCTCATATACTGACTTTCCCCCCCCTTTTTTTCTCATTTTTAATTTTCATATACTGACTTTTAATTAAATAGTCAAATCTATCAGTAAACTGACTTACCTCTGCCTCTCATCCTCAAATCACATTCCTTCCTTGTGCTTCAACCTTCCATCCCTTTTCTGGTCCTGTTACTGAAATGAGACTAAATCGTCTCAGTTCCTCCAAAAATTAGATAGAATATAATCTATTATGGCCCCTTGAGACATTCAAGGTCCTTATTTGTCTCTTATCTTCACTATCCTGTTCCCATATGTATCACAGTGTGGTATCTGCTAGATAGATATTTGTTGGATGAAGGAATACAGAATGCAGAAAATCTGGCAGTCAGGAAACAGGGCTTCTGTTTGTGAAGTTGTTGATTCCACAAACCTGGCTATGTCCTTGGCTGCCTAGCAAGTGAGCAGCAGTTTCCATGTTGCATGGGATTAGTTGTGTTTGGATAGATGTAGCAATGAATCCACAATTTCAGGGGTTTAGAGATTCAGCCTATAAAGGGTTAAACACTAAGACCACCTCCCTGAAGCCTCAGAGAGTAGAGGAAAGGATAATTTCTGTGTGCTGTGAAGTTGAGGCAGGATTCTCATTCACTCACTCATTCCATCATTCCTGTGCTCCAAATTGTCATGGAAGTACTGAAGTTGCATTTGCTTCAGTAGCACTTTTGTCATCATTGTCTTTCCTTAGCAATTACCACAATTGTCTCCATACCCTACTTTGAGAGTCCATCTCTGTTTACTTTAGCTCTTTTCCCACCCCTCCCTTTAGGCACTGAGCAAGAGCAAGAAAGCTCAGGTAAGGGGGCCTATGGTATGTAAATGTCTTAGTGGGGATGTTTCTATGGTGGGGTCTCCTTGTATTGGCCTTTCTTTCTCTGTGTGTGCCCTTGCATCCATGACTTCCTCACTGCCATGTGTTTCTGTCTGTGTCTTTGTCTTCTTGTGTTTGTCTCATACTTTTGCCTCTCTGTGTATCTTTCTCCCTTTATCTCTCTTTATCCTTCTCTGAGTCTCTGTCTTCCTGTTCTTTTTTTGTTGTTGTTACCGGGGATCGAACTTGAGACCTTGTGCTTGCAAGGCAGGTGGCGGAACCACTAAGCTATATCCCTGGCCCTCCAAATTTTCAAAAATTTTTTTTGATACTGGGACTCAAACTCAGGATCTTGTGCTTGTGAGGCAGGTGGCAGAACCACTAAGCTAAATCTCTGGCCAGGAGGCTTACTGTGTTTTCAGCACTTGACATGACCGGAGATTTAATTTTACCAACACCGAAGAGTCTAAACCCTTCTCATTCATGGAGCTCTTAGGAGCTTAGAGTTCCCCTCAGACACAGCCACTGGGATGGGAACTCAGGTCCGCCCAGAGATTGTAGTCAGCATGGGGGAGACTTTGGTGTCACAGAGGGGTGTGTGTGTGTGTGTTTGTGTGTGTGTGGGCCCAGGTGGCCTGAGGTTCCATGTAATGCAGGGGGGACGGATTCCCGCTTTTGCTTTGTCCTTTTTTGTTTTTGTTTTGTTTTTGAGACAGGGTCTCATATGTAGCCCATGCTGGCCTTGAACTCACCGAGATCCTCCTGTCTCAGCCTCCCTAATGCTGGGATGACCAGCATGTGCCACTATGCCTGGCTGCTTTGATTTTTGAAGGGTCCCAGAGCCCACAGGCCTTTGCACCCTGGCTTCCACTGGCTCATTTTCCCGTGGGTTGCCAGGCTTGGCTCGGGTGCACCGCGGGCTTCCTGGTTTTTTTGACTTCTATCCCTAATCTTCTCTTTGTCTCTCCCCAACCTGTTCCTATCTCTGTCATCATTTTTGTTTTCTGTGTTTTGTTTCTTTCATTCTCCAATTCCTTGTTTCTCTCTCCCCTATTCCTCTTGCTCTTCCTAACTCATTTCTTTCCCTCCTCTTCTATCTGTTCTATTCTTTCCTTGTTGATTTTTCTCTGTTCTTGTGTTCCTGTGTGTTTTTTCTTCTTCCCTCCTGTTCCCTCTCTTCTTCCCCATCTTGCTCCCATTCTCCATCTTTCTCTACTTCTCTTCTCGCCTGTGATTATCTTCTCATCTTTCCCCTCCTACCCCCTCCTCTCTATGTCTCCCTCTACACTTTCTCTCTACTTCCCCTTGCTTCTGCCTTCCCCTCTCTGTCTCATTTTATTCCTTCTGGTGTGTTTTCTCTCCCTGTGTGCTTTATTCTCTGTACCCTGTGCTCTCTCCTCCCTGTGTCATTTTCTCCCTCTCTTTGTCCTACCTCCCCATCTTTTCTGCTTGTGTTGGAGTCCTAACCCATGTCTGCCACTATAGGAAGTTGAGGTACTGCTGAGTGAAAATGAGATGCTTCAGGCAAAGCTGCACAGCCAGGAAGAAGACTTCCGTTTGCAGAACAGCACACTTATGGCCGAATTCAGCAAGGTGCTGGTGCCTGGGATAGATGAAGGAGGAGTGGGAATGGGGGGATGCTGCTTTCATGTGTGTGAGGTTGGGTCTAACTGGGGGATTAGGGGAATACCTATGGGACATGTGCTGCAGCGGGCTGTTTATATCATTGAAAGCTCTAAAAGGCTGGCCATCACTGATCTAGGCTGAAGTTGACTACAGCAGAGAGGATGATCGGACAGGGTCTGGCTCTGTGCTACTGTCCGTGGTGCTGAAACATGTGCTGGACTGCTGCTAGGGGACAGTGATTTGACAGATGGGGCCATTCACTGTGGTGGGATTAGAAGATTTTAAGCCTTGAGGTTGACTGGTTCCTGGCCAGAGCATTCCTTTTCTTTAGAGTTTCAAATTTTCATATGTATAATTTGGGGCTGGTGCTATGAAGTCCCAAGGCCTTGGGGGGTTTTAGGGAAAGTACTTACATTTAATATGGGATGGAAAAATGTTTAAGCTGCTTCCCTTTTCTCTTTCTTCCTTTCATTTTACATGAACCTAGGGTTCTACTTCTTCCAGATAATTCATCCTGAATTGGCTAATTCTATCTCCTCCCTGATTTTAGTGTTCTGGCTCTTTCTAAACCTATTGAACAGTTAGAAACATCTTTTTGTTCTTTTATCTATTTTCTGTATCCATGGTTAATAAATTTCTAAGTTTTTAGTGTTTTAAGGAAAACAAAAATCCTCTGGCTGCAGAAATGGCATTTCAAAGGCTCTGCCTAAGAATATAATACATAAGACCTTTTAAAAAAAGCAGTAAGATCGCTTCTCGGCCTTTTGGCTAAGATCAAATGTAAAAAAAGCAGTAAGAGGGCTGGGCATTTAGCTCAGTGGTGCTGCCACCTGCCTCACAAGTGCAAGGCCCTGAGTTCAATCCCTGGTACACACACAAAAAAAAAAAGAAGAAGGAGGAGGAGGAGGAAGAAAAAACACAGTAAGACAATCTTTAAGCAGGTACAATACCAGGAGAGGCAGTTTAGCAAGCAGTAGTTCTGAGCAGGGACTCAGGAGCCAGAAGGTCTAGATTAAAATCTTGGCTGTACCTTTTACTTACTGTAACCTTGAGCAAGTCACTTAACTTGCCTGTTTCTTGGTTCCCAAATGTCTAAAATAGAAATGATAGCCAGCTGTGGTGGTGCACACCTGTAATCCCAGCATTCAGGAGGCTGAGGCAGAAGGACTGCCATGAGTTCGAGGCAAGCCTAGGCTACATAGTGAGTTCAAAGTCAGCCTGAACTATATAGTGAGATCCTGTTTCAAAAGAAAAATTATAGGGCCTGGGATTTAGCTCAATGGCACCGCGCCTGCCACACAAGCACAAGGTCCTGAGTTTGATCCCCAGTACCAAAAAAAAAATCATAAAATGGAAGTGATAATAATGACACCACCTGCTTCACAAGCTTTTATGAGGATTAGATGGGTAAATAGTCACTTATATCAGAGCCTTGCATGTAGTATTAAGTATGGAAGTATTAGCTACTGATATTTTCCTTTTGCTAATTTTCTTTCCTTTTTTTTCTTTTTTTTGGGGGTTTTTTGAGACAGGGTCTCACTATGTAGCTCAATCCTCCTGCTTCAGCCTCTGAAGTGCTGGGATTATAGATGTGCACCACCACACCTGGCTTAATTTTCTGTATAAAATATTTATTTCTTTTTTGATCTGGTGTCTTGCTGTATTACTCAGGCTGGTATCAAACTAATGTGCTCAAATGAGCTTCCCATTTTAATTTCCTAAGAAGGAATGCACCACTACATCCAACTTTTCCCGCTAAAATATTTTTTGACATTTTTTTTCAGTGTTTGGGATTAAACCCAGGGCCTTGTACATATTAGGCATGTGGTCTACCAGTGAGTTACATCCATAGCCCCTGGCTATCAAATTTTTTTTCTTTTGGTACTGGGGATCGAACTTGGGACCTTGCGCTGTGAGGCAGGCAGCAGAGCCACTGAGCTAAATCCCCGGCCCCATGGCTATCAAATTTTTTAAAAGTTCAGAAAGATGCTGGCATAGTGGCATATGCCTGTAATTCCAGCACTTAGGAGACTTAGGCAGGAAGATCACCACAAGTTCGAGGCCAGCCTTGACTACATAGTGATTTCAAGGCCAGCCTGAACTATAAAAACAAGACCCTGTCTCAACGCCCCCCCCTAAAAAAAAAAAGTTCAGAAAGGGCTGGGGGTGTAGCTCAGTGGTAGAGCACCTGCTTAGCATATGCAAGGCCCTGTGTTTGATAACCATCCACAACAACAACAGAAAAATCTATCCTTTGGTCCTGGCCTGCCTCAGCCTGCCACACCCTCACACCTGCTTAATTTTCACAGTCTCATTTGTGGTCTTCTCAGTTCTAGTTTTCTCTGTTGATCCAGTCCACAAAGGTTTTCTGAACCATAGCCTTACAAATCCTTTAAACAATTCCTTCTAGTGGGCTTCCTCACCCCACATTCCCAGTTCAGAGTCCTGGTGCTCACAACACCATTGGCCTCAGTGCCTCCCTTCTCACTGCTTCTTGCCTCCAGCCTCCTTGGTGTCATGTTTTTTGCTTGGGTGAGGCAGGGAAGGCATTCTTTGATAAAGCCAGCTCATGTTTCCCTGTCTCACCCTGGGCCAGGCAATTGACAGAGATAGAAACTACATAATCCTGTTCTTATTCATCCCAAACAATGGAAGTACTTACAGGGAGACCTGGGGTAAAAGCCTGCTTCCACTCCTTTTTCCCAAGATATTTCAGCTCAATTGCTCCTTCAGCAAATAGTTGCTGAGCATCTGCTCTGTGCTCTGTGTTCTAGAAAAACAGTTGCGAGCAGCACAGAATAGTCTCCAGTCTCAGGTAACTTATATTCTACAGGTGGGATGGAGAGAAGGATATAATATAGTAAACAAATAATAAAAACCAGGCCTGTGGTGCATGCTTGTAATCTCAGCTGCCTGGGAGGCTGAGGTGGGAAACTCATGAGATCAAGAACAGCCTGGGGAACTTAGTGAAACCTTGTCTCAAAGCAGCAAATAATAGAAATCTAGGATTTTTTTTTTTTTTTTTGGTACCGGGGATTGAACTTGGGTCTTTGCGCTTGTGAGGCAAGTGGCAGAACCACTGAGCTAAATCCCTGGCCCAAGCAGCAAATAATAGTAGTGACAATGAACGTTTATGTGGCATTTCCTATACCAATTCCTGTTTGAAGTGCTTTACATTATTCATTTAATCTTTGCAACAAGTCTGTGTTACATTTTTAGCATTCCTGTGTAACAGATGAAGAAAACTAAGTCCTAGGGAGATTTAAGCAGATTTTCCCAAGGTCATCTGGCTAGTAAATGGCACAGTAGAAATTCACATCCAGGCACCCTGTTTCAGAATTTGTGCTTGTGACTCTCCATGATAAAATAAAAGTTGTGATTAATGCTTGGTAAGAAATATAAGAACATAATGCTGTTATAAATACTAAAATTTATATATTGAGGAATGCTACTTTTTTTTTTTGGTTGTGCTGGAACCCAGAGCTTTTCACATGCTAGGCAAGCACTCTACCTCTGAGCTACACCTCAGCACAAGGATATTGCTTTAAAGGTTACATCAACTGGGGATTCCTATACACCTATAATCCTAGCACTTAGAAGACTGAAGCAAGACTGCAAGGAGTTTGAGGCCAGCTTGGGCTACCTAGTGAGTTCAGCCTGAACTACATAGTGAGACCCTGGCTCCAAAAAACTAAATATGACATCTGAGCAGAGCACTAAAAGATGCAAAGAAGATGCCAGTCATGTGAAGAACTGGATGGAAGAAATAATGTTGGTTGGTTGGTTGGTTAGTTTTTTGAGACAGGCTCTTGCTCTGTAGTTCTGACTGACCTTGAACTCACTATGTATCCCAGGCTGGCCTCAAATTCATGATGACTCCCCTGCCTCAACCTCCCAAATGCTGGGATTACAGGTGTCCCCACCTTCCCAGATTAGAAATAATTTTTTTTTATTTTTTGGTACCGGGGATTGAACTCAGGATCTTGAGCTTGTGAGGCAGGTGCAGGCTCCACTGAGCCAAATCCCTGGCCCTAGAAATAATGTTTGAGTAGAAAATATCCCAGGCAATAAAAATTCTCCGTGGACCTCAGTATTCTCATCTGAAAATTGGGACAAGAGATTATTTTAGGACTGCTGTGTGAACTATATTTGAGCAGGAGGTAAGCAGGGGGCTGGCATAGTTTTATTTGCATTACAAGACCAAGGGCGGGCAAAGCAGTAATTATAGGCAGTGCTGGGCCTGAAAATGTCTTAAAAGTTGTCTGTGGCACCTGTGCTGAGAAGGAGCTGCCCACAGACTGTAGGACAGTAGGATTCTCCATGGTGCTGACAACTTCCTGAGTCGTCAGGTCTGGGATTGCATCTGAGAGGTCTGGAGCAGGCAGGGCGAAAATTGTTTTCATCCTTTTGAACTCTGCCACTTAAGAGATTTATGAATTTGAAGTTGTTTAGCATCTCTGTGCCTCAGTGTCCTTATCTGTAAAGTGTGAGAACACCTATGTTATAGGGTCCTTATGGTAATTAAATGAATTGTAAATGGCATGGCCAAGTGCTATGAATATTTCAGCAAGTATTGTTCTGATTCACTGCTTCTCTGCTACCTCTCTCTGCTTAGCTCTGCAACCAGATTGAGCAGCTGGAGCAGGAGAATCAGCAACTGAAGGAAGGAGCTACTGGAGCAGGGGCCGTCCAAGCTGGCCCCCATGTGAATGGGGAGCTATTGAGACTGCAAGCAGAGAACACAGCCTTACAGAAGAATGTGGCAGGTGCATGGGATTTCAGGGCTTGAGTAGAGGATGGAAGGTTGTTTGTTGTCCTTTCAGGAGAAGGAGAAGGGCTTCAGAGTGAGGCTTGGCCTTGCCATGAACCAGTAAGTGGCCTTGGAGAAACCATTTCCTCTCTCTGAGCCAACCTGTACTCCCATGTATAATGTATAGAGCAATGTCTGCCACCTGAAAGATTTTGTTTGTTTGTTTGTTTTGGTACCGGAGATCGAACTCGGGTCCTTGCGCTTGCGCAGCAGGCGGCGAAACCACTGAGCTAAATCCCCGGCCCATGCCACCTGAAAGATGGTAGTAGAAAAAAGAAGTGTATCATTTTGCAGTTCATGGGCTGGTGCCCAACACATAATAGAGAGCAGTGGCATGATTGTTGTAAAGGACATATCCTCTAAATGGAGAAAGTGAATGAAGGAGTGGTGGGAAGATTCTGAGCCCAGAATGGGGCTGGGATGAAAGCTGAGAGACAGCTTGGTAGAGTGTGGAAAGGCCCTGATGTATGGACCTTTATGAGCAGCTGGGGCTTTTTTAATGGTGGTTGCTGGTTCTGTTACTGAGTGGAACACTTGGTAGAATGTGGGTGGGAGTTGGGAGGCCATTTAGGAGGGATTCAGCTGTAAGTAGGAGATAGAACATGGTAGACAAGATCTCAGAGGTTGATAAGGTTTAAAAGATTTGTGAAAGGCATGGGTAGGATTTGGGACAGGAGACCTGGCAGGTTGAAGGCTAGTTCCTCCTCTGAGGCATAGCTGGGAACTTCAGCAACTACCTCATCTACCTTACTTGCTTGTTCTATTCACCAGCCCTGCAGGAGCGCTATGGAAAAGAGGCTGTGAAGTTCTCAATTGTCAGTGAAGGCCAAGGGGACCCTGCAGGGAGCCTGGACCCCACTGTCCATACCCCCATGCCATTGGCAGAGGTAGAGCTGAAATGGGAAATGGAGAAAGAGGAAAAGAGATTGCTCTGGGAGCAGCTGCAAGGCTTGGAGGTAAACTTGGGTCTATTGAGGCTGGGATGCTGGGAGCCAGGCAGATGCCCTGGCTCTGCCTGTGGTCCCATGAAGATGTCTGTGACATCACCATCTTGTGGGCTGAAGAAAGGGATGAGGGAGGCGGGTCCTTGCTAACAACAGGCCCATGCATCATCTTCCCCTGCAGAGCTCAAAGCAGGCTGAAACGTCGAGGCTGCAGGAGGAACTTGCTAAGGTGCTTGTTTTTTTCTTGACAGAACAGAGGGGTGTTGTGCCTCCTCAGGGACTCAGTTTCATCATGTATGAAGTGGAGAGAGTCACACTTACATCTCAGAATTGCTTTCAATATGGAAAAGGCTAATACAGTTCCACTTTACCTTGTATATGGCAGACCCCAGCCCTTCCATCTCCTCCCAACTTAGCTCATTCATTCATGCAAGCAAGCATTTACAGACTCCTGGCTCTTATCTTAGAACTTGGAGGCTCAGTGATGGGACAGGCAGTCAGAATCCTGCCATCTAGGCCTTCCAGCCTAGCCATTCTATGAAGTGGCCATTAGCCACTGTTTTGGGGGGTACAAATGACTCACCTTTGGAATCTAAGTAGAGATAATATTATTGCTGCTGGTCAGTTGGGTAACCAAATTTCTCTGCCCTTCTGAGATTCAGTTTCTCCTTTGTAAAACTGGTAGTACTTACTTTTCAGGGCCATTTTGAAGATTCCACATGATAACATATGTAAATCTTGACTTCCAGGGAAGACTCAGTGAGAAATATTTGTGAATATAAAGTTTATTTTTATCTTTATTAGTACTATGATCATTGTTAATATTTGTCTGGACCCCTTCCTTCCTTACCCTTCCAGCTCTCTGAGAAACTCAAAAAGAAACAAGAAAGGTACATTTCTTTTTTCTAGGGGGTTTGGGGGCTTAGAAGAAGATGGACCTGTGGATCTGATTCATCTATGTCTGTCTTTCCATGTCCAGTTTTTGCCATCTGCAGTCAGAAAAGGAGGCACTATTTAATGACAGCAGGTAACTGCCTGCGTTGAAGGGACTAGTGGACACATGGGACTGTGCTCAGCAGAATTACCTGAAGACTACAGGGACTGAGCCTCTATGACTGAGACTGAAACATGCCCTGTGCACCCTGTCCCTGTCACTCCCAGGAACAAGATCGAGGAGTTGCAACAGCGGAAGGAAGCAGAACTCAAAGCCCAATTGGCTTGCACCCAGAAGCTACAGCAGGAACTTGAGGCTGCCAATCAAGTGAGCTTGGGCTGGGTCCCAAGATCCCCAGGATAGGGATGGGGCTGGAAGTCTGAGGAGATCTGAGGTCCATGGAGGCTGACTGGAGAGTTTGAGATTTCCTGTGGTGGAAATATAGGGACTGGATGGGTCTAGACCCTCCAGAATCTAGGAAAATGGAAGTTAAGAAGCTCTAAGGGCTCTAAGAGTTGGGATAGAAATCTGTATGAGTCAGACATCCTGTGGCTGAGAATTTGGGAGATTGATACAAGTTTCAAGTTTGTATCAATCTGAAACTTCCACTGGGTACTGAGACTAGGAATTAGGGTGACTATCAGCTCTCAGGGCTGAGTCTGGATAAAACTGAAACCTCTATGAGCTAGCTGGTGGTGAGCTGGGCCTGAGGAGCCCCAGTGATGAGGAACCGAATGATAAGTGGGGCGTTTTATTCTGAAACTTTATCTAGGAGCTGGAAACTAGTAAGTTGTATGACTTTGAGACTGCTAGGGTCTAGACTAAGAGTTTGTGTGGATCTAAGACTCTTGGGAGCTCAGGACATGGGGGTAGAGCTTGCAACCCCTGGTGGTTGAGGTTGAGTCTGGGTAAAGCTGTAATACTACCTGGGTGCTGACCACATCTGAGGTCTCTGGGGACTGGGTATGTCTAAGAATCCTAGGGCTCTCAAGCTGTAATCTGGGTAAGTGTAAGTCCTTTTTTGGGTGTTGGATAAGGGAGTTTGAGCCTCCGAGGAGCTTAGGTATGTCTGAGATGCTTAGAGACTGGGACAGAGGGGTAAATGTGTCTGAGACTCCTGTGGGTAAGGACTTAGAGTCTGGGTGTACCTGAGGTCTCTGATGGCTAGTCAAAGACTCACAGGTGCTGTGGACATATTGTTGAAGTGGTCAGAGAGGGAGTCTGTAAGGTTCTGTGCACTCCAGGGGAGGCTGAGGTCTCAAATGAACTCTCTTGACTTCCTGGTCCTTACAGAGTTTGGCAGAGCTAAGAGATCAGCGGCAGGGGGAGCGCCTGGAGCATGCAGCAGCTTTGCGGGCCCTACAGGATCAGGTATATTGTACTGGCTGGTCTCAGGAAGCTGAGGTTGAGGTTGGGGACCACCTGCATGGGTACTACTCGGCAAGTTCTCAGGGGTCTTACTTCTCCTAGTCCTGTTCTGTGTGTCTGTCTCTTTTCTTTCTTGGCTGTGAGTAGGTCCTGTCCCCCTGTACTGGACCCACTCTCACCTGTTGTGGGGGTGGGGCCAGGTGTCTATCCAGAGTGCAGATGCGCAGGAACAAGTGGAAGGGCTGTTGGCTGAGAATAATGCCTTGAGGACTAGCCTGGCTGCCCTGGAGCAGGTACAGGACACCTGGGAGCCCTTGCTGACCCTCCTCATTCCGTTGTCTCCCTCTTTGTGGTCCACACCTGGACAGGGTAACCTGGACTCCATGCTGTTCTTTGGCCTCTGTTTTTGTTTTTCTTCCTTGGCTTCCAGCTGCCTTCTTTCTGGCTATTCATCCCTGCTTCTTTAGCATTCTAGTTTCTCTCCAGTAAAGTGCATGTGTAATCTTTTGTTGTTGTTATGTTTTGTTTTGGGTTTGTTTTTTTGTTTTTTTGTTTTTTGTTTTTTTGGGGGTTTTTTGGTACTGGAGATCGAACTCGGGTCCTTGCGCTTGCAAGACAGGCGGTGGAACCACTGAGCTAAATCCCCGGCCCTGGTTTTTGGTTTTTTGAGGCAGGGTCTCCCTTTGTAGTTCACGCTGGCCCTGAACTCACAATGTTCCCCAGGCTGCCCTCAAACTCTGGGTGATCCTCCTGCCTCAGCCTCCTGCATGCTGGGATTATAGGCATGTGCCACCATGCCCAGTGCATGTGTAATCTTTTTTTTTTTTGGTACCAGGGATCGAACTCTGGACCTTGTGCTTTCCAGGCAGGTGCCGGAACCATTGAGCTAAATCCGTGGCCCCCTATCTCTATTTCTATGTAGCTAACTCCCAGATCAAGATATACAGCATTTTCATTACCCCAAAAGATCCCCTTACCCCTTCCAGCCAGTACTTCCCAGAAGTCACCGTTATTCTGACCTTTAACAACATAGTTTTTGTTTTGTTTTGTTTTTTTTGTTTTTTTTGGTACCAGGGATTGAACTCTGGTCCTTGAGCTTGGGAGGCAGTCTGCAGAACCACTGAGCTAAATCCCTGGCCCAACATAGATTTATTTTGCTTGTTCTTAAACTTCATATAACGCTCTCTGTCCCTGGCTTCTTTTTGATACCATTGTATCTGTGAAGTTTATCCACATATAGCATGGCTCTGCTCTTTTGTCACTGTGTAGAATTGTGTTGCACGAATATACCACATTTATTCATTTCCCTCACTATTTTTTCTGTCTTCCTACCTTTCTTCACACCTGTCTCCCGGGAACTGGGAGTCGTATGCCCTGTTGCCTGGGCCCTGGGGCCCTTTACATTCCATTTTCCATCACCATCGCCTTCTGCAGATCCAAACAGCAAAGACACAAGAACTGAATGTACTCCGGGAACAGACCACTGGGCTGACAGCTGAGTTACAGCAACGGCAGGCTGAGTACGAAGATCTTATGGGACAGAAAGATGACCTCAACTCCCAGCTCCAGGTGATACCTCTGACCCTGCCCTGTCTCACAGGTTTCCTAGTACTGGCTCAGTGGTGTCCCTATGTTGTTCAGTGGGAAGACTAGAGTTAGGAGGACCTAGATGCCAGTCTGGCCCCTAATTCTTATTAGTACATATATATCCTGGGAGAAGTCATTTCACTTCTCTGAGACCGAACCTCTTCAGTTAGAATAACCATTGATATTCCATATACTGGTTGAGTATCCTTTATCCAAAATGCTTGGGACCAGAAGTGTTTCAGATTTTTTAAGATTTTTGAATATTTGCATATACTTAATGAGATGTCTTGGGTAAGACCAAAGTCTAAACATGAAATTCTTTGTTTCATATACACACACAGCCTGAGGATATTTTATGTATATTTTTTGCAGTACTAGGAATTTTTTTGGTATTAGAGATCGAACTCAGGACCTTGCACTTGGGAGACAGGTGTCAGAACCACTGAGCTAAATCCCTGGCCCAGTACTAGGAATTTTTTACAGTACCAGAGCCTTCACATTAAGCTAATCCGTAGTGCCTTGCTGCCTTTTGAATTTTGAGACAGAGTCTCACTAAGTTGCTCAAGTTGAGCTCTAACTTGTGATCTTCCTGCCTCAACTTCCCTAAATGTACCTGTATTTTGACTATGAACTATCACAGTAAGTCAAGTGTGGAATTTTCCACTGTAGCATTATGTGGGTGCACAAAGTTACAAGCTTCGGATTGCAGATTTTCAGATCAGGGATGCTCAACCTGTAAAAAGCAAAGTAACAGTAGACTAAGTAAGCTAGAGATTTAGTTCTCTTTCATGTAAAACTCCAGGTATATTGCTCAGGGATAGAATGATGATTATCTAATAATCAGTGACCCAGGTTCTCTCTCCATTACTGTTCAGCCACTTTCAACCTAAGACTTATATCTTGGTATCTGGGATGGTTGCTCAAGCTGCTGTACCATCACTTTTGTATTCCATCTAGAAGGAACAAAAAAAGGGGTCAGGGAGAAGCATGCCCCTTTCCTTTAAGAGCATAAGCTAAGTTATGCCACCAATTCCCTATACAGAAATTAATCACACAGCCACACTTAAGGAGGAAGCCCAACTACAAATTCTATTGGTCTGCCTCGCAAGCATAAGGACCCGAGTTCGATCCCCAGTACCAAAAAAAAAAAAACCCAAAAAACAAAAAACAGATATAAAGAAATAAATTCTATTGGTAAGATGGGTGTGATGGCTCATGCCTGTAATCGGGAGGCTGAGGCAGGAGGATTGCCATGAGTTCAAGGCCAGCCTGAACTACATATTGAGACCCTGTCTCAAAAAAAAAAATTCTGTTGGTAAGGAAATAGGGAATAATGAATACTGGGAAGCAACTAACAGTCTCTGCCATTCCCATCCAGAGATTGAGATCATAATACATTGCCAGGGGAAAGGAAGTGGTCTACCAGAAGTGTTCTCATTTACTGGGGTTCTTTATCAAACTCATCCCCATCGTTCTGGCATTAGGAGTCACTACGAGCCAATAGTCGGTTGCTGGAACAACTTCAGGAAATAGGTCAGGAGAAGGAGCAGTTGACCCAGGAACTCCAGGAGGCTCGTAAGGTAAGGCCATGGGGAGGGAAGGGGGACTGGCCCAGTCCAGTGGGCTCAGGGCGGGTGATAGGGTATGGGAATGGGAAGGGGAGGAAAGTGACCAGTTCCATGGGGCAGGGAGAGAGTGGAGTCTGGCTAGTTCCTTGGGCATGAGGACAGTGTGGTGGGCCTTTCTGGTGTTAGGGAGGAGGTTGACTACTACCCTCCTGGCCCCCAGAGTGCTGAGAAGCGGAAGGCCATGCTAGATGAGCTAGCAATGGAAACACTGCAGGAGAAGTCTCAGCACAAGGAAGAGCTGGGCACAGTCCGACTCCGGCATGAGAAGGAGGTGCTAGGGGTGCGTGCCCGCTATGAGCGTGAGCTCCGAGAACTGCATGAGGACAAGAAACGACAGGAGGAGGAGCTCCGTGGGCAGATCCGGGAAGAGAAGGTGGGTGGGTAGATGGCAAATCCCTTTCTTCTCCTTAACCTGGGGACCACAGCTTTGCAGATGGGCCAGTGGGCCAATGAATGGCATGTATGAGGTACCCACTCCTCAGCCTGCCTGGCCTATGGTTGTATGTCCCCTCCAGGCCCGGACACGGGAGCTGGAAAATCTCCAGCAGACAGTAGAAGAACTTCAAGCTCAGGTGCATTCCATGGATGGAGCCAAGGGCTGGTTTGAACGTCGCTTGAAGGAAGCTGAGGTGAGGTGCCTGGTGAGGTGCAGAGCTGCTTATGTGGCATCCATGCCATGTCAAACCATGGAAGTAGAGGTAGTCGGGCCTGGAACTTTCTGAGATGTCTTGGACTTGAGCAGCCCTCTGGAAGAGACTAGGAGATAGCCAGCTGATAGTGCAGAACATCAGGTATGCAGGGCCCTCTGCCTTTGTGCAGGTTTGAAAAGGCACCCCTGCCTCCTAGAACTGTACTTCTGTCAGTAAGTTGTTGTGATACACTGATTTTATTTGAACAGGATATTACCATTTTCAAGCCAGGTGTGGTGGCGCATTCCTGTAATCCCAGCATTTGGGAGGCTGAGGTAGGAGGATCACTGAGAGTTCAAGGCCAGCCTGGACTACATAGCAAGACCCTGTCTCAAAAAACCAAAAAAAAAAAAAAAAGAGAGAGAGAGAGAGAATATCACCATTTTCTGGAAAACCCATTGGCATGTAGTGTTATGTTTTGTTAAATAAGTGAAAATGTAATTATAAATCTAGATCTCCCATGTGAATGGTGTAAGTTTGCAAGTGACTTTTCTGCATATTTCTGCCTAAGAGCATGTAGTGTTTCCTGCAAGTTCTTTTCTGTGTACCCAAAGGGCCCTGCTATAGTCCCTCACACCCTTTATTGGGCATGATGTCTTCTGGGGGGCCGTGGCCAACCCTGGGACATGTCTCATAGGAATCCTTGCAGCAGCAACAGCAGGAACAAGAGGAAACCCTTAAGCAATGCCGGGAACAGCATGCTGCTGAGCTGAAGGTGCCTCTCCTGTGACAGTGTTCCTCTCTTTGGGTACCAGTGGGCCCTCATGGGAGGACAGAGGGTTCCCAAGTTGTGGCCTGAGCTGCTCTATGCTTGGCAGGGCAAGGAGGAGGAGCTAAAGAGTGTGCGGGATCAGCTCCAGCAAGCCCAGGAGGAGCGAGATGACCATCTGAAGACCATCACCAGCCTGAAGCAGGTGAGTGGTCCCTCAGTAGCCCCCAGCATATCGCTAGGTCTCAGCATGCAGCATGGGACAAGGAGGGGGTACTCTGCAGGCAGTCATTCTGGCACCTGCCACACATGTCCTTTGTGTCCCACAGGAGGTAAAGGACACAGTGGATGGGCAGCGGATCCTGGAGAAGAAGGGCAGTGCTGGGGTAAGGATGGGAAGGTATCCAAGAACAGCCCCCTCCTGGCCTACACTCCTTCCCTTCCCTGTGGGTTCCCGAGGCCTTGGGCCCTTAACTTTGCCCTGTCTCCCCACAGCTCAAGGATCTCAAGCGGCAGCTGCACCTGGAGCGGAAACGGGCTGACAAACTGCAGGAGCGGCTGCAGGACATCCTCACTAACAGCAAGAGCCGCTCAGGTGAGGCGTGAGGACAGGCAGCGTGGGCTGTGGTGCAGGGCAGCCAGGGTCCCATAGGGCTCCTTGTACCTCCCTCGCCCTGCTCTTCAGCCTCCTTTGTCCCTCTTCAAGTCTAAGTGTGTTACCTGCTCTTTGCCTGTCTCATCTCTGTTTCTCTCTCTCTCTGCACAATCTATTTTTTCTTTCTGTGTCTCTATTTCATTTTTGCTGTGTCTCTTCTCTTATTTCTGTCTCTGCTCCTGTCTCATTGTGTTATTCTACCTCTGTCTCATTTTGTTCTTTCTCTCCTTCCTGTATATCTGCCTTAATCTCTTCCCTGTTTTCTTTTTTCTTTGCTTTGTTCTCTCTTTATTTATCTCCTTTTTTCTAACCGGCTTTTTCCTCTCTCCCTTTATCTCTTTCTGTCTTTATCCTCTCTTTCTCATTCTGTGTTCTGTCTCCCACTACTCCTACATACACACTCCTGTACCTCATCTGTTTCTAAATCTGTTGTGTCTGTTCTCTCATTCTATAAACCCCATGTTTAAGTCCAGGGTCTCTGATACAAAATCCCCTCAGTCACTGCCATCCAGGAGCTCACAGTGGAGCTAGAGAGATAGACTTCCATGCAGGCAGCAACCCTGCTGTTTTCATTATACAGCAAATTCAATGCATTGTACTTCTGCAAGTTAAAGCAGAGGACAGATGTGCATGCACACACACACACACACACACACACACACATACACATATACACATAAAGTTGCTGCTTCCCTTTTTTAGATTGAAGTGGCCTGCAGATATGCTGAAAGAAGTAAGATGCCAGTGATGGCTCTGGTGCATCTCTTAGGTCACAGACTCAAAGAAAACTTGTTCCTTTGTCCCCCCACTCAGGCTACCTGTGAAACCTCACTCAGCCATAACTCCACCCTTGTGGTGTCATCCCCTTCCTAATACACAGAAGCAGCTAGCTGAAAGAGCAACATGGTGTAGCAAAACTGGATATACCTCTCAAGTCAGTTTCTCTCTGCAGTACTCAGTCTCCTGAAGTAACTCTCTATAACAGGAATTTTGTTTCTATGTTCTTGCATGTTAATACAAAAAGCATGGAATAGATTAGAACCATGCATCATACATTGTCCTTGTCCATTAGATGGATCTGAGATCTAGGTGCAAGGATACAAGTATGTCTCCATTGTTTTGCTCTCTTCTGCTCTGACCATGTATTTCTCCAGTCTCTCTGTCATTTTCCCTGGCTTCCTGTCTCTGGAGTGTTCTCTTCACATGGGTGTTGCCCATGACCTCTCTACCTGTCTATCTTCCTTTCTTCAGATCCAGACCTGAGTGTTTATTTTACTTGAGGCACATGTGTTCCCTCATCACCCTCTTTCTTCCAGCCTCTTTCACTGGTTCACAGAGGCAGCTCCTTTTTCCATTTGTCTTTTTCTGTCCTTCTCTCTGCCTCTGCCTTTCCCCATGCCCAACTGTGTCTCTTTGCCTCTTTCCATTTATGTCAGATCTATTTCTGCTTCTTCCTGCCAGTTCTGCCTTGGGACCCAGGGAGATTGGGGTCAGGTTTCTCTTTTCTCCACTGCCCAGGCCTTGAGGAGCTGGTTCTCTCTGAAATGAATTCACCAAGCCGGACCCAGACAGGGGACAGCAGTAGCATCTCCTCCTTCAGCTACCGGGAGATCTTACGGGAGAAGGAGAGCTCAGCTGCGCCAGCCAGGGTAAGGGACAAGGAAGAGGCTGCAGCCCTACTTTTCCCATCCCAAACCTGGGACACGTCCTCTTTCCCTCAGTTGCAGCCATCTACTCAAGCCTAGCACAAGTATCCCTCCCCGCCCATACCAGGGATTAAACTCAGGACCTTTTGCTTGCAAGGCAGGCGCGGTGCCACTGAGCTAAATCCCCAGCCTAGCACAATATTTTCTTTCCTTTTTTTTCTTGTTGCTGGGTTTTAAACCTAGGGCCTCATGCATGCTTAGCATATATTCTACCACTGAGCTGCAGCTCTAGCTCATCAGAAGCATTTTTTTGTCAGCCTCTCCCCAAGCTCATCAATTTGGCTTCATATTGCTACATGGGGAACAGCGAATCATTCTCTCTCTGTGGCCCTATTTCATCGTCTGCAGGCTCATTCTCCCTTTCCTGGCACCTTCAAGTATGTGGCTTGTAGTAAGTACACCATCCATGTAGGAGGTCCCTTTCTCCAGCTTATCCTCATCACTCATTATTATTGCCATTTGTCATGACAGCTTCCTTGTCAGCCACTTTTATTTGGAAATAACGTTTTTAAATTATTCTATACATAGTATCGGTACATTGTAGAAAAAAATTAATTTTGATATTAGGAATTGAATCCAGGGCCTTTGCAATGAGCTATATCTCCAGTCCTTTTTTATTTTTTATTTTGAGACAGGGTCTTACTAAGTTGATAAATTACTCAAACTGGCTCAAACATATCATTCTCCTGCCTCAGCTTCCCAGAATTACAGGTATGCATCACCACATCCAGCTTATAGAAAAAAAATTTTAACTACAAACAAAGATTTAAAAAACTTAAATAGTCCAAAAAATCACATCCTCATTATTCAGAGGTCACCCTTATGAATACTTAGTTCAAGCCAAGTGCAGTAGCACATGCCTATAATCCCAGTCCTCAAGAGGTTGAGATTGAAGGATTAGTTGGCTTTTTTGGGGGGGCGGTAACCAGGAATCAAACTCAGGGCTTTGTGCTTGCCAAGTAGGTACTGCTCTGTGAGCTATATCCATGGCCCAAGACAGGAGGATTGCAGGTTAGAGGCCAGCCTGAAAAAAATAGCAAAACTGTGCCTCAAAAAAAAAAATCAAATGAAAGCCAAATATGGTGATGCAGTCTTGTAATTCCAGCCCACTGGAAAGCTGAGGCAGAAAGATCCCAAGTTCAATGTCAACCTAGGTAACTTAGTAACTTAATGAGACCTGTCTCAAAAAAATAAAAAGGGCTCAGGATGTGGCTAAGGGTAAAGGCCCTGGGTTTGAGTCCCAGTGACACAAAAATGAATGAATGAATGATGAATTATTTTAGGGCTGGGAGTATAGCTCAGTGGTAGGGCATTTACCTAACATTGCATAAGGCCCTGGGTTCCATCCCCAGCAACACACACACACGAGTAAAAGAAGGAAAGAAATTCATAGTTAACACATTCCCACTGGCTTGAACCACTGGTGGTACAAACGGATCTAATCACTTTTACTGGTCTTTTTACTAATTAAATTAATAAAGTGGTACCCAATGGGACAGTTATGCATGTACCACCAGTGGTTGAAGCCATACAAATTATGACCCCAACATGAACATGTTAATACCCTTACAAATCTCTTTTTAAAACATAAATGAGTAGGGCCAGGGATTTAGCTCAGTGGCACCAAACCTGCCTCGAAAGCGTACCGTCCTGAGTTCGATCCGCAGTACCACAAAAAAAAAAAGCAAACATAAATGAGTAATCCCAGCACTCAGGAGGCTGAGGCAGGAGGATCACTGTGAGTTCGAGGCCAGTCTGAACTGTATAGTGAGACCCTGTCTCCAAAAAAACCAAAAAAATTAAAACCTGAATGAGATTGAGTAATCTGTTTTTGTTTATCTGATCTCTCAATTTGGCAAATTTTCATCTCATCTAATACTTTGACCTTAATCAGATTTTTCTAATTGGTCCCAAAATGTCTTTTTTTCTAATTTTTTGGTTTTAATTTTTATCCAAAATGTCTTTTACCCTAACCCCTAAATATTTTTAATTGCTGCTTTTCTGAAAACCAGCATGCAATTTCAGACAACATGGTGTACCTGGTTGTTTTCTGTTCCTGTCTCTTCAGTGTGGTCACTTTTTTCCTTACACCAACTTGTGGAATAGAACAGCTCAGCTGACCTGCAGGAAGTGTCCAACCTTTTAGGTTTTTCTACTAGATTTTTTTACTGGCGTCCAATCATATAATTTTGCTTGTTCTGCTCTTACCTCCATTTTCTGTCAGCTAGAAATTAGATTTCATTTGCTACTGGAGCTTCCTTAATCCTGTCACCAAAGCTCTGATGTAGTTACTTACTCTCTACCTGACTTTAGGCCAAGGGGAGCACAGAGTCTCTAAGGCTGCCAGGACTGGCCACCAGCCCCGGCCACCAGCCCCAGCCACAGGACCCTGGCTCTCCTACCTTTCTCCAGCCCTTTTCTCCTGCCTGGGGTGGGCTGTGCTGAGCCAGGGGCTGGCCTCTTTCTCCTCTTTCCTGTAGTCCTTATCCAGCAGCCCTCAGGCCCAGCCCCCTCGGCCAGCAGAGCTGTCAGACGAGGAAGTGGCTGAGCTCTTTCAGCGCCTGGCAGAGACGCAGCAGGAGAAATGGATGCTGGAAGAGAAGGTGCATTCTGGGGCCCAGTACTCTGGAGGGCAGTGAGGTGGGGGTCTGGCTGGGTCCCTCCTCATGGGTAAATATGTGCAGTTGAAAGGCCTGAAGTGGGCTGGCCTATCTTGCAGGTAAAACACCTGGAGGTGAGCAGCGCCTCCATGGCAGAGGACCTTTGCCGGAAGAGTGCCATCATTGAGACCTATGTCATGGACAGCCGCATTGGTCAGTGCCCCCTCCCCAGCCCTCACCCCTGCTCCCGCCTTCACCTACCCTACCCCCTTGTATGCTGCTGTGCTGTGGTTTTTCTCCTCTTGGAACTCAAGAAAGCTACTGACAAGACCACAACCCCTGTAGGGAAGAGCAGAGGAGCTCTGTCTTTATCTCGCCTCCTCTTTCTCTCTGTGGCTCTGTCCTCTCTCCACTCTCCATTCTCTAGTGGGTTCCCTGGCCTTCTCCATCTCTTTTATTCCTCCTCCTCCTTTTCCCCTCTCCTCTTTCTCCCTCCCTCTGTCTTCTCCCTGTGTCTCTTTTCCTGCCTCTCTTTCATTCTCTCTCACTGGCTATATTGTTTTCTCTCTGTGTATTTTTTTTCCTTGTATCTTTATTCCTTTTGGGGTCCTATCACTTCTCCTTGCCCCTCTCTTCCTCTCCTACCCATCTTCCATATTATTTTCCCTTTTCTCTCTCCTCCCTGTTCTTATCTCTTTTGTGCCTTTCTTTGAAACCTCCTCACAGATTTTTCTTTATTAACCTGAACAATATCCACTGACATGTGCTGAGGATTTACTGTGTGCTGTGTGCTTTGTATGCAGTCAGTCATATGCATTTTTCAGCCATATGAGCTAGGTATTGTCCCTATTTCTCAGGACTGTATGGCTATTAAGGGATAGAGCTGAGTTTCACATGTTGAAGCCTGCACCTCCTACATAACATGGCTTCTCTCCTTCCCTCTCTCCTGCTCTTTGTTTCCCTCTTTTCTCTTCTGGCTCTGCCCATCTCTCCTCTGGCTCTGCCGAGGGGGTGGTGCTCAGCCTGGGCCCTTGCAGATGTGTCTGTGGCAGCAGGCCACACAGACCGCAGTGGGCTGGGCAGCGTCCTGAGAGACCTAGTGAAGCCCGGCGATGAGAACCTTCGGGAGATGAACAAGAAGCTGCAGAACATGCTGGAGGAACAGCTCACCAAGAATATGCACTTGCATAAGGCGAGTGTGGCCTACCAGCCTACCCATCTGTCCATGCAGCCACCTTCCCCCCAAGCCACACAGCCTATGGGTCATCTGCCAGTCCCCCAGTCTGTTTTGTCTACTTTTGTCCACCTGGTTACTCCCCCATCTGTTTGTCTACCACCCTTCCATTCTCTCATCTTCCATCTTCCATTCAGCTTATTATCAGTTTGGTGTTTTACTCTTCCCTTTTCCTTGTACCCATTCACTCGTCCATTTATACATGAAATCACCCAACCATCTACCCATTCGTCCATCTACCCACCCTACTATATACCCATCAAGTCTCCCCCAGGTCTTCTACCCATTTCCTGATCTACCATTCTCTCTTAGCTGCTCATCAGTCACCCTTTGACCATTTATTCACCCATCCTGTGCCCTGTCTGCCTACCTGTTGTCCTCCCTCTGTTCTCTGCACAGTTCATTTATGCACCTATTTGCCTGCCATAGACCTATGTGTCCATCCACACATCTGTTTGTCCACTCTGCCACCCAAATACTCCCCTTTCTCGGGGAGTCATAAAGGAGTCAGCCCCAGCTCCTGCCTTGGAGAAGCAAGCTCACATTTAATGAAGAGAAGGTAGCAAGGGTGGCCATAACAGGTGACCCAGCCCATCTCCTTAGCTTCAGAGACTCCCCATGCAGCCTTGAAACTTCTGTGTGCCCAACCCTTTGTTGGGGCTTCTGTGAGCTTCTCTGAGTACCTTCCTGTCCCAGGCCAGACCCCAGTGGGCATTGACTAGTAGGCTGAGGAGAAGATCACAGGTGGCACACAGGTTTGGTGAGGGAGCTGCCTCTGCTCTCTATTCTGACCCCTGATGGCTTGTTTGTTTCTTAGGACATGGAAGTTCTGTCCCAGGAAATTGTTCGGCTCAGCAAGGAGTTCGTGGGGTCTCCTGACCCTGACCTAGAGCCAAGAGAAACCAACTAGAGATCTACAGGCTGCACCCACTCCCCCCACCATGCCATTCCCTCAGGCTGTGGTGGGAGAATGGGCTGACACCAAAGTGTAGTAGTTTGGGAGGCTAAATATTAAAGGGGCAAAAGGCCTGGTAGCTGGTGTCAATGGCCCCATCTTAGGACAGAGGCCCTTTGGGGAGTAGGCATCCAAAAGGAAGGGGCACGGATTTCTCTCTCTGCTCAGCCCTGGTTCCCAGGCTCTTCTGCCTTCATCTCTGCATGAGCTCTCTCCCAGAGACCAACTCTTTTTTAATTTTATTTTTTAATTTATGTCTGGAAGCCTGGCTACTCTGCATTTGGGATTGGGGATGTTGGGTGGGGGCATGGTCTGTGTTCAGCATTCTAGCATCATATGTATGTGTGTGTGTGTTTAAAAGCTGTGCAGCCAAAATACCATCTGGCCAGACAGGCCCACTCACTGACTGTCTGCTCTCATTCTTTCCAATGAAGAGGGATGTGCTAGGGCTGGCGAGGTCCATTGGAATGGGAAGGTCTCTGACTGCAACTTTCCTTTCTCCACCCTCACTTCAATCTGTCTCCTGACCAACCTCAAACTGAGCAGAGGAGAAATGTCTGCTAATATGTGTGGGTGGATGTGGGTGTGGATGAGTGGAGAGGGGAGGATGTGTAAGTGGCTGGATGGACTGATGGATAAATATGTAAAAGGTTTCATGGATCGATGATAGATAGGCTAGGAAATAAATGGGCATATGGATAGATAGGTAGTTGGATGAATAAATGGGTAGATGGATCGGTAAGTGGATTGAGGATGGATAAGTGGAGATATTAAGGGACAGATGTATGGATGTGTGGACAAATAGATGAGTAGGTGAATTAGGTTGATTGGTGGATGGATGAATTTATGGGAGTAAATTGGTGGATGAATAAGGGAATGTACAGATGGATGAGTTAATGAATGGGAAGGGTAAAGAATAGGGACATAAGTGGTGGGTGGAGGGATGGAGAGATGGACAGATGAGTGGAGGCCATTGATACCTATGGATAGGTTTGGGAATGGTTACGTGGATGGGGTGAACATACAGATTGATGAGTGAGTAGCAGATAGATTAATGACCAAATGGACGGGTGGGTGGAAGGATGGGAGAGATTGATTCTATAGGCAGGAGAACTACTGGGTGGTCGTGTAGAGGGGTGGAAGGATGGACAAGTCAGGAGTGTGATGAATGAGTAAATGGGGAATTTCATGGGTGGGTAAATGAATTGGTTGATTTTTTTTTTTTTTGTACCGGGGATTGAACTTGGGTCCTTGCACTTGCAAGACAGGCGTTGGAACCACTGAACTAAATTCCCGGCCCTGGGTAAATGAATTGAAGGGCTAGACTTAGCCCTGTGTTACTGCACCCCTTTGTCTTTCATCCACCTATCCTGTGGGTGGACCACCACGCACCTTAATTTACTTAAAATTAGGCATCCTGTGTATGCCAGTCCCTGTGCCACCCCTTTCACATCACTTCATTTATTCTCCAAATGACACTGTCACTTGGGATAATTCTCCAACTGAGGAAACAATACAAGTCCCTTGCTCAAGAACACGTCAGTGGCAAAGCTGGTGTTTGAACCTACCCATGCCTACCAGAGGCATTCCATACTCCATGTGCCTGCCACCCAGGAGTAGAGCCCTCTAGGGGAGGAGGTGTGACTTGTCCCCTGGATGTGGACTGATGAGGGAGGCTGCCCTCCTGGCACGGGGACTATCTGGGTAGGGTGTGGGCCTGGCTTGTCCCCATCTGCACCCCCTTACTCCTCACCTTACATGCAAAAATAGTGGAAGACAAGCTCCAGTCCCACAATGGGTCTTGGTTAAAACTGGGCTTTATCCTACATTGGCCCCCCACACATGGTGGGGGGGATTTGAAGACCTGGCCAACTATAGAAACACCTTCGCACAACCAATAACTGCACTCAACGCAGCTTCTGCTCTCCACAGCCGGGGGTGTGGGGGGGTGACAGGGAGGGGACACAGCGCTGCATCATTCCCCATGGCACTCCGCTCTGGGGCCATTAACAGACGCCTCTCTATCGATCAGATCTGCTAAGTGCTGCTGAATCAGGCGGGTGGGGGTGGGGGCCCCTGGGGGCAGAGGGGGTAGGAGCTGGGCAGGAAGAGGGGGGAGTCCAGGAAGGAGGTGGGGAGAACTGGCAAAGCTCCCTGCCACCCCCATTTTCCAGAAGACGCGACTGAGGCCCAACCAGCTTTGTAGGAGGCGGAGTCTCCCCAGGGTCCCTCTCAGACTGTCCTAGGGGAGGGGTCTCTGGGAGCTACGAGGCCCCTCCCAGCCTCCATCTCCCGGCTGGTGCGGAGGGGCGGGGAGAGAGAGCAGGAGGAGGAGAACTCCAGCAGCACTGCAGAGGGGCCAGGCAGTTCCGCTCTGGTGTACCCCCAGCCCCATCGCTGTTGCTGCTGCTGCATTGGGGACACAGGTGAGGACGGCCCTATGGGGAAGGGGAGGGGGCTACCAATAGCACTGTATTTGTCCTTTCTTGGTCCAGCCTCCATGCCCTAGCCCATCCTGGGACAATCCCTAGGGGTCCCACTGGACCTTGTCCTTCCAGGGACTCAGCCCTCTCCCCCTGCCTGTGCCGCCTCCCCTCCTAGGCCTGGCTGTGGCTGCTGCTTTTCCTCCTGCTGCTGCTGCTGCCGCCTCTGCTACTGCTGCTGTCCACTACACACCGCCAGCCCCTTGGGGTGTGGTTTCCCCAGACCTGCCCCCATGAGTGGGACCCAGGCTTCTCCTGTCCTACCTTCTCCTGGCCTCCCCCACCAGCCGCCTGCTTGGTCCAGCAGCCCCCTTCCTGGAGACACACCCAACTCCCTTTCAATGCCCCACCCCCTCCAACCCATTTTGGGGGGAACCCCTTTCCTCTTAGTCTTTTGAGATCCCCTGAGTTCTCAGTGGCTGTGCCCAACTTTGGTTCAGTTAAATCCCATTCCCTTGGGATTCCCCAGGCCCCTTTTTCCTTCCCCCAGAACTCTTCAGAGTGGACCAAGCTTCTTCAGTCCCTCCAGATACTCCCTCCCCCAGATATCTCCTAACCTCTTCAAAAATAACCCAGCCCCATATCTACCTTTTTAACCACCCCATTCCCCTCTTCCCCTAACTAGGGACCCTTAGCTCTCCCCCGCTTTGCCCAGAGCTCCTAGAACTCCTAAAGCATAGACAAAACCCCCAGGCTATTCTTGCAGCTCTAGGCACTCCCAAGACACTTTTTAGTCTCTTTACAACCTCCTGGCTATATAGCCCCCCTTGAGGTGCATCAGCCCATGTTTCAAATCCACGAGAGAGCTCCAACCCCCTTATCTTTTCCCCAGAAGTCTTGAGGGTGTGGGCAATCCTCCTCCCTGTTCCCAGCCTGTCTAGAGCCAACCCCCTCAGACACTCCCAGCCTCTTTCAAGTATCCGTAACCCTCTGGATGCCTCAATCTCCTCTCCAGCCCTACTAAGGGGTTCCAGGCCACTCTTCCTTCCCAGAGAACTTAAAAGTGTGAACAACCCCCCACCCTCAAAGTTTCTTCATCACTCCAAACCCCTGGACATCTTCAGGCACATGCTGACTGACTCCCATAGAATCATCTGTCTCTAAACCTGAGGATCTTTGTTGGCCCCTCTGGCTGCCTCAGTCCCTTCTCAGTTTCTCAGGACACCACCCAGGCCCCTCCTAGATCATCTAATGCCCCCCAAGCTCCTGCCCATCTCTCTACTTCCACCTCGTGGTTCCTCTTGGCCTCTCTAGACCTTCCCAGTTTCCTTGTCCCGGTGGTCCAGGGCCTCTCCAAGTCCCCACCATCCTGGAGACAGCCACATTCTCCTAAACACCAATCCCCTAGTCTTGGTGGGCCTGGGAGCCGCAGGATGGCGGCAGGCGTGGCCACGTGGCTGCCCTTTGCACGGGCGGCTGCGGTGGGCTGGCTGCCCCTGGCCCAGCAGCCCCTGCCCCCGGCCCCGGGGGTGAAGGCATCTCGAGGGGATGAAGTTCTGGTGGTGAATGTGAGCGGCCGGCGCTTTGAAACCTGGAAGAACACACTAGATCGCTACCCAGACACCCTGCTGGGCAGTTCTGAGAAGGAGTTCTTCTACGATGCTGACTCGGGCGAGTACTTCTTTGATCGTGACCCAGACATGTTCCGGCACGTGCTGAACTTCTACCGCACGGGCCGACTGCACTGCCCTAGGCAGGAGTGCATCCAGGCCTTTGATGAAGAGCTGGCCTTTTATGGCCTGGTGCCGGAGCTCGTGGGTGACTGCTGCCTTGAAGAGTACCGAGACCGCAAGAAGGAGAACGCTGAACGCCTGGCGGAAGATGAGGAGGCTGAACAGTCCGGGGATGGCCCGACTCTCCCAGCGGGCAGCTCCCTGAGGCAGCGGCTCTGGCGGGCCTTTGAGAACCCACACACGAGCACTGCGGCGCTGGTTTTCTACTATGTGACCGGCTTTTTCATTGCTGTGTCAGTCATTGCCAATGTGGTAGAGACTATCCCGTGCCGCAGCCCTTCACGGCGGCTGTCTAGGGAGCAGTCCTGTGGTGACCGCTTTCCGACGGCCTTCTTCTGCATGGACACGGCTTGCGTACTCATATTCACGGGAGAATACCTCCTACGGCTCTTTGCTGCCCCTAGCCGTTGTCGCTTCCTACGGAGCGTCATGAGTCTCATCGATGTGGTGGCGATCCTTCCCTACTACATTGGGCTTTTTGTGCCCAAGAACGATGATGTCTCGGGTGCTTTTGTCACCTTGCGTGTGTTCCGGGTCTTCCGCATCTTCAAGTTCTCCAGGCACTCACAGGGCTTGAGGATTCTGGGCTATACGCTGAAGAGCTGTGCCTCTGAGCTGGGCTTTCTTCTCTTTTCCCTCACCATGGCCATCATCATCTTCGCCACTGTCATGTTCTATGCTGAGAAGGGCACCAGCAAGACTAACTTTACGAGCATCCCTGCTGCCTTCTGGTACACCATTGTCACCATGACCACACTTGGGTGAGTGCAGACCCTGTGTTGGGGACTGCAAGATCATCAATTACACTTACCCTTTCTGTAAAATTAGGAAGGGTAGATGAATGATTTTTACCCCCCTTTTTTTGGTTTTTTTGTGGCAGGGTCGCACTATGTAGTTTAGGCTGGTCTTGAACTCACTATGTAGCCCAGGCTGGCCTCAAACTTTCTGCGATCCTTCTGCTTCAGCCTCCCGAGTGCTGGAATTACAGGTGTGTGTCACCATGCCCAGCTTTTTTGTTTATTTGTTTGTTTCTCTGTGGAACTGAGAATTGAACCCAGGGCCTCACACATGCTGAGCACACACTGTACCATGGTCTTTCTTTTTGAGTTTTGGTTTGTTCACCTGTAAAAATGCAGAGAATTTGTCTTAATTTTCAAATTCTTCCCAGCTCTAAACTTACTCTGATTTTCCAGGTCAGGAGACTTGGGCTCAAGAATGTCTTGGCTGCTGTTTTTGTGTTGACATTTTCTCAGGGCCTCAGTTTCCCCCTCTGTAAAGTGGGAAATGATCCCTTCATCATCTAGACAGGAGTCAATGGCGTCATGGTTGTGAAAGTTCTCTGAAAGTTTCTAGAGTGTGATACATAGGTATTGACTTTCTATCACTCCTTTTCCTTTTTGAGGACTCATGACTCCCAACCTTCTAGAATTCTCTGCATGTGGGGCACTACCTCTGACTTTGTGATTTCTTGATGTGTCCCAGATATGTTTTTAGCATTATTTTTTACTGCTAACCCCTAAGAGGAAACAGAGTTGGGATGAAAGTATCAAATGGAGTCATCAAACTCATGATTTTTTGTAAGCTTTACCACTGAGCTACACACCCAGGGCCTTCCCACTGAGCTACAGCCCAGTCCTTTATTTTTTATTTTGAGAAGGGTTTCATTAAGTTGCCTAGACTTCACTTGAACTTGCAGTCCTCTTGCTTCAACCTCCAAGTGCTGGGATTATAGGTGTGTACCACTATGAAAAGCTCCTCATGATGTTCTTTTTGGTTTTCTGAGACAAAGTCTCGCTATACTTCAGGCTGGCCTTTTTTTTCTTGTATAGGGTCTTGCTGTAGTTCAGGTTGGCCTTGAACTCACTGTGTAGCCCAGACTGGCCTGGAATCAAGGCACTCTTCCTGCCTTAGCCTCTGTAGTGCTGGGATTATAGAGGTGTGCCACCATGCCTGGCTATATTCTTAAAGCCACTGTCTAGTTGAGTATGTCTATAATCCCAGCACTCAGGAGGCTGAGGCAGGAGGATTTCTGTGAGTTAAGACCAGTTGTTTGAACTACAAAGTGAGACCTTATCTCAAAAAACAAAACAAAACAAAAAAACCCAACAACAACAAAAAGACATTGTCAAGGGCAGATGCTGTTATTATTCTCCAAGTTTCTATCACTGGAATTAAGTAGAGTATGCTGTTGGTGTTCAGTATCTGTTGAGTGAATGACTGAATGAATTGGCCTTGCTCACTGCCTTAACAGAGGTAGAGAAAAATTGATTTGGGGTTTCTAAGGAATAGAAATTAATTTTGGTTGGAGGTTCAGGATTAGATTGACAAACAAATATTGAGCCCTAACAGTAAGTTGGCACTGGGTATTCTGATGCCTTTTACCCTATTCAGTCCTCACAACAACCCTGTAAGTGTGGATGGCTGCCCATGTCTCATAGTTGAGACACAGTCTGAGATGACACATCAGAAAGCCAGAAATGGCCAAGTTGGAGAGACTTTGGAGCAGAATCTTGAATACTTTAAATGAGTCAAAACAGAAATATGGGAGAGCCATTCTAGGGCACAGCCTGAACAAAGAGCTGGAAGCTGAAGACTGCAGAGGCTGCGTTTCTGTGGAGGAGATCTGATTGGTCCTAGGATTAGAACAAAAGTGTGCTGTGTGATCCTGGCCAAGTCAACCGTGGAACCTCTGTTTTCCCCCTGACTGACAGAACAAAGTCAGTAAGGTTGTCTTTGTGCCATCACCACGGGAAGGAACATGGAATGGAGGAAGGCAGAGAGTTTCAAGGATCCTCTCTATTTTTCATATGAGGACAGTTTCAAGGTTTTACTTGGGGGGAATCAGGTGTTCTTCCTAGAAAACAAAGGCAGGCAAAACCAGCAAAATGCTCCTCCTAGGAGGCAGAGCCCCTCAGCTGGCCTGTGGCTGGGGACCTTTCTCTCCAGGAGCCTATATTTACTGTCTAGGACTTCCTCCTTCTCCCCTCTGGTGGGTATTAATAGATTCTCAGCTGACTCAGATGTCCAGTGCTTAGCTCAGATGGGGAAAGCAGATGGGAGAAGTTCCTGAAGGCCAACCCCATTTCTCATCTGACTCCCACTGCTGGCCAGAGAGGTCACTCTGGACAGTGTGCAGAGCTGGAAACTGAGGCTGAGAGGATAAGTGCCTGCCCCGGATCACAGAACACATTGGGGTTGGATGGGGTGGAGTGGGGAATGAGAGGTGGGTGGGTGCTTTTCCTGACTGTGGCCTACCTCCCTCATCCCCAAGCTATGGAGACATGGTGCCCAGCACCATTGCTGGCAAGATTTTCGGGTCCATCTGCTCACTAAGTGGTGTCTTGGTCATTGCCCTGCCTGTGCCCGTCATCGTGTCCAACTTTAGCCGCATCTACCACCAGAACCAGCGAGCTGACAAGCGCCGAGCACAGCAGGTAAAATGTATCTTCCCTCTGACCACCTCTCATTCCTCAAGCTCAGAGCTGAGCTCCTCTTGGGCTCACTCCCCTGCTCTTTGTCTCTTCTTTCTGTAGAAGGTGCGCTTGGCAAGGATCCGGTTGGCAAAGAGTGGTACCACCAACGCCTTCCTGCAGTACAAGCAGAATGGGGGCCTAGAGGTGGGTAAGCCTGGATTGGGGTTTGGGGTGATCAAGGATAAGGGGAGAAAAAATGTTGATCTCCTTCTGCTCCATTTGCTCCAGGACAGCAGCAGTGGGGAGGGACAGGCGCTGTGTGTCAGGAACCGTTCTGCTTTTGAGCAACAGCATCACCATTTGCTGCACTGTCTAGAGAAGACAACGGTGAGGTCTAATGAGAGGTGGCATGACAGGAGGGAGGGGGTCCCTCTGTTGCCAAGCCAGCTCCTCCCTGGGATGGGAGGCTCAGTTCCAATTATGAAAATTGGGGCCGGGGATTTAGCTCAGTGGCACCGCACCTGCCTCGCAAGTGCAAGGTCCTGAGTTTGATCCCCGGTACCAAAAAAACAAAGCAAAAACCAATTATGAAAACTGGCCCAGAACAGTAGCTCAAGGCTGAGCTCAATGCCCAGTACTGCAAACAAAATTTTAAAAATTATAGAAATCACATGGGGCTTCCTACAAGAGGCTGAGCCTTGAAGAATGAACAAGGGAGGGCCAAGGATTTAGCTCAGTGGTTCCGCTGCCTGCCCTGCAAGCCCAAGGTCCCAAGTTTGATCCCCGGTACCAAAAAAAAAAGAAGGGAAGGGGAGGGGAGGGAAGGGAGAGCAACTTCTAGAAAGGAGCATTCTGAGCAAGGGCCTGGGGGTGGGATAGAGTCCGTGGAGTGCCCTGTGACCCTGCCTCCCTTCTCCCCGAAGTGCCATGAGTTCACAGATGAACTAACCTTCAGTGAGGCCCTGGGAGCTGTCTCACTGGGTGGCTGCACCAGCCGAAGCACCTCTGTGTCCTCTCAAGCAGTGGGGCCTGGCAGCCTGCTATCATCTTGCTGTCCCCGAAGGACCAAGCGCCGTGGCATCCGCCTTGCCAACTCCACTGCCTCTGTCAGCCATGGCAGCATGCAGGAGCTGGACACACTGGCGGGGCTGCGGAGGAGCCCTGCCCCTCAGAGGTAAGCACCCATCCCACCTGCTGGCCACAGCTAGGGAAGTACAAAGCTTGGACCAGAGCTTGGTCTGAGATTTCATGAATCCAGGCCTAGCAAGACAAGCTGAAACTCAAACTCCTTCTTGCAGGAACATGGGCTTATTGTATCTGGAACACTCCATTCTGTGTGTGTGTGTGTGTGTGTGTGTGTGTATGTTTTTGTGTGTGTGTTACTGGGGATTGAACTCAGGGCCTTCAAACTGTGCTATATCCCTAGCCCGTTTTATTTTTTTATTTTGAGACAAGGTATTGCTAAGTCACTATGTTGCCCAGGATGGGATTGACATTTCAGTCCTCCAATCTCAGCCTCCTAAAGTGCTGGGATTACAGACATATACCACCATACTTTGTTTTTATTATTTTCTTTGGTCATGGTTCTATTAAAGATTTTACTTTTCTACATCAGAGTCATGTTGATACATATTTTCCCCATTCTTGTTTTTTTTTTAATGTAGTATCTGAAAATTTTGGTTACATTTTTGTACTGTATCAGTCCTCAGAAAATACTACATTCTTTAAACTTTTAAAAAAATGGACAATAATTTTAAACAATAGAAATGGTATTTATGTTAGGTTTTAAAGTATTAAATAACTAATTGTACCATAAACAAATAACTGCTTTCGTTTTCCATAGCAGTATGTATAGCAATATATTCTCCAAAGTCATATAGTTATCATTTACAATAGACAACTTAAATTTTACTAATGATGCAAAAAATAATAGAATACAAGGCACAATCATTAAATGGAGTTTTTCTTTAGGGTGTATATTAACATACCAGCATGATAAGGATATCATAAAAAGTGCAGAAAAACACAGTGTGCAATGAGACTACTGTATAAAATATGATTGCATAAAAAGTGATTTGAGGGCCGGGAATTTAGCTCAGTGGTGCTGCCGCCTGCCTCACAAGTACAAGGTCCTGAGTTCGATCCCCAGTACCAAAAAAAAAAATAGTGATTTGGCCTATTTTATTTATTTATATATATTTTTCTCATTCTTCATTTGTTCTTTCAAATATTAAACAACCAGGAATGGTGGTGGCTCATGCCTGTAATTCCAGCCACTTGGGGGGCTGTGACAGAAGGATCACTTGAGCCCAGAGGTTGGGTGCCAGCCCAGGAATGAGGGTGAGACCCTCTCACTAAGAAAAAAATTATTGATCACCTACTGTATTTCAGACACAGTTTTAGGCCCTTGGGATGCAGCAATAACAGAATATACGGAAATCCCTGTTCTGGGATGGGGGTTTATCTCAGTGGTAGAGCATTTGCCTAACATTCATGAGGCCCTGAGTTCCATCCCTAGCACCACACACACACACAAAAAAATACAGAGAGGGCCGGGGATTTAGCTCAGTGGCATTGCGCCTGCCTTGCAAGCACAAGGTCCTGAGTTCCTGGTACCAAAACAGAGAGAGAGAGAGAGAGACACATCCCTGTCTTGAAACTTAGATTCTATAGGATGAGAATGTTATCAAAGAAACAAATATACAGGTTATATAGTGTGTCAACATTTGTATGTTTTTGTTTGTTTGAACCCAGGGCCTTCACAGTTAGGTACATCCCCAGCCCTTTTTTATTTTTTATTTTGAGTCAGGGTATTTCTAAGTTATAAGTGACTCAGGCTGGGCTTGAAATTGCAATCATCCTGCCTCAGCCTCCCAGAGTGCTGGCCTTATAGGCATGTACTACCATACCTGGCTTATGTCAAAATTTGTAAGCTCTAGGGAAAAAAATAAATCAAGGATGGCAGGCAGCCAGAGAGTACAGAGGTAGGGTTGATGCTGTTTTTTGGGGGGTTTTTTGTTTGTGTGTTTTGTTTTTTGAGGCAGGGTCTCGCTATGTAGTTCAGACTGGCCTTGAACTCACTATCTAGCCATGGGTAGCCTTGAACTCATAGCAACTCCCCTGCCTCAGCCTCCCAAGTGCTGGGATTACAGGTGTGTGCCACCATGACTGATGCTGTTTTTAAATAAAAATATTATTATTGTTATTTTTTGTAGTATTGTTACTTTTGGAACCCAGGGCCTTACACATGTTAGGCACGTGCTCAACCACAGAGCCACACCTCCATCTTGATGCAATTTTATTTTATTTTATTTTCTTGGTATTGGGGACTGAACCCAGGAAGTTTGTACTAAGCTACATCCCCAGCCCTTTTTTGTTTTGTATTTTATTTTATTTTATTTTCTTGGTATTGGGGACTGAACCCAGGAAGTTTGTACTAAGCTACATCCCCAGCCCTTTTTTGTTTTGTATTTTATTTTATTTTATTTTTTTGGTACCAGGGATTGAACTCAGGACCTTGGGCTTGTGAGGCAGGCACAGTGCCACTGGGCTAAATCCCTGGCCCTATTTTTTATTTTGAGATAGGGTCTACCTGAGTCACTAAATTGCCCTGGCTGAGCTTGAATTTGGGATCCTTCTGTCTCAGCCTCCCAGAGTGCTGGGATTGCAGGTGTGCACCACTGGGCCCAGCTCTGATGCAATTTTAATAGTGTGGTCAAGGAAAGTTTTACTGAGATCTGAGCTGAAGCCTAAAAGAGGTGAGGAAGTGACTAGAAAGATAACTAGATAACTAGAGAAAGTTTTCTAGGCTTAGTGAAGAGCTTAAGTGAATCCTGTGAGGCCGCTCTCCATGTCAGAAACAGCGAGGAAGCTACGGTGAGTGAAGTGGAGTGAACAAGGGGCAAAGCGGTAGGGTGGAAAGTCAGAAAGGAATGAGGACATGGTTTCGTAGATCCTAGTATAGACTACTGGAAGGACTTTGGCACTGGTAGGAGTAACAGTAGGAAAAAACTCCTGTGTGAGCTGGGGGTGTAGCTCAGTTGTAAGCATGCACTTAAGTTTTGGGAGGCCCTGGGTTCAATGGCCAGCACCAACACCCCCCCCAAAAAAACCCCAGAAACAAAACAAAAAACTGTGTGTGTGTGTGTGTGTGTGTGTGTGTGTGTGTGTCCTCATTATGTCTCAGGTACTGCTTCAAGCCCTTTGTATTACTTATTATCTCATTTAATCACAACAACTCTATGAAGTAGAGAATATCGTTCTTCCTGTGCTATAGATGAGAAGCTGCATGTAGTAAAAGTGGGACTAGGATTTGAACCCAGGACTAGCTGACTTCAGAGCCCTCACTCTCCATTACCACTGAGGATTCAGGGGTAATACTTAGCACACTTTCACGGAACCCAGTAGGCGCTCAGTAAAGGCCAGGATTGCTATGAGAAGTAACAAGATGATCTTTTAAGAGTCTTCTATCTTCCCTGTCCCTGTCCACAGCCGCTCAAGCCTCAATGCCAAACCCTATGACAGCCTTGACCTGAACTGTGACAGCCGGGACTTCGTGGCCGCCATTATCAGTATCCCCACCCCTCCTGCCAACACACCAGATGAGAGCCAACCATCCTCCCCTGGTGGTGGCGGCAGCAGTGGTGGCAGGGCGAGGAGCACCCTCAGGAACTCCAGCTTGGGCACTCACTGCCTCCTCCCCGAGACTGTCAAGATCTCTTCCCTGTGACGGGCAGGCCTGCCCATTCAGAGGACCCTCCTCATTCTTGGGTATTCCTTTCCAAAGCCATACTTTGAGGAGGCAGAGAGGGGCAGGCCTGGGGACTCCTCTGCCCTCTGCCAAGAACTATGCAATGGAGTTTTATGAAATGATCCACTTGGGGGGAAAGTAGTCAGGGGGTGGGAAACTGCCCCCTAGACAGGAGTCCTGGTGGGAGCTGAAGCACTAGACTTCCACAGACCCCTGGCTTCCTTGCCCCAGCACACTGGGACTGGCCCCTCTCTCCCAGCTGGCCTGCATGCTCTCCCACCCCCCACCTTGGGCCCTCGGAAGTAGGTAAAGCTCTCCTCTGACATCTGAGTTCTGGCTTGACAAGGAGAGTTGAGATTTCCTCTTCTCTCTGGCAAGGCTGTGAGAGTTTGGGGGTTTAGAAAAGAGAACCCTCACCTCTGATTTGGCCTCTGGGAAGAGGTATACCCTCCCACCCGGGGCCCAGTAATTCCTAGATTCCGAACCTTGAAATGCAACCATGGGCTTCATGGGCTGTGGCCTCAGCAGTGACCTGACCCCCTCTGTAGGTCTTGGCCAAGGGGTCAGGCTGCATCTCCCAACACACAGATAGCACAAACACCACCACTCCCTTCCCTGGCTGCTGGAAATGGGTCCCTACCACCCTGTCCTCTGCTGGGGCCTCAGCAAATAGCAGTAGCAGCTACTGCTGTGAAAATATATAAAGCCTCTGACCAGTTTGCTGCAGCATTTACATCTGCCCTGATCAGATGGGCCACCTCTTTAACTACTCCTCCTCTCTTCTCCGGTTTGCTTCCTTTCTGGGCTGTAGTCTGGACTGGTTGAGATAAAAGCGTGGCAGCCTGAAGAGCTGGGCTGAGTTTAGAGATCATGGGCCAGTTCTGCGTTCTTGGGCAGGAGTCTAGAAGTATCAGGGGCCGAAGCCTGGGTTGTTCCTGAACTCTGGGAGGTTTAGGAGGCAGAAGGAACTTCTTGATCACCTTCTCCGTCCCTGCAGCTCTTTTTCACATATTCCCCTCTTCTTCCTCTTGGGTTACCTTCCAGAGCTCTAGTCTCAGGCTGAAGTCTAGCATCTCAGGCTCCCTGTCCCTGTGGAGTTGGCAGATGACAAAGATGTAGTTTCCATCAGTCAATAAAACCTGAGAAGAGAGATGAGGACTGAGCACCTCCTGACTCTGTGGCCTTGGGGCTGGGTTGGGCTGTTTGAGAACACTTTGATCTCAACTGTGGTAGAGCCAGGGTGGACAAAGGGCCAGTCTTATTTTGGGGAAGTACAGAGGAGCAGGTGTGGAGAGCTGGATGGTTGGTGATGTGTTCTGGAAGATGAGGATCTAGGAAGAATGAAAGAGTATAGTTTGAAGACTTGAATCTTCAGCCCACAAGGCAGGCCAGGGGCCCTTAGACATGACCCTTGGACAGCATCTGCTCCAGCTCTCTCATTCATAGATGGGCAAACCAAGCTTCAAAACAACACATAGTTTTAGTTAGTTTTTGTGATGGGATCTCTATGTTGTCCAAGTTGGTCTTGAACTCTTGGGCCCAAGGGATCCTCCTGCCTCAGCCTCCCAAGTGAGGAACTACTGGCACATGCCACCATGCCTGGGCATGTAGTTAGAGAATGAACTCAGGCTTCCTGACAGCAAACAACTCTAGATTTAACCCTAATAAAAGCATCTCTTGGGCCGAATTTAGCTCAGTGGTTCCACTGCCTGCCTTGCAAACTCAAGGACCCGAGTTCGATCCCCAGTACCAAAAAAAACCCAAACAAACAAACAAAAAGCATCTCTCAGTTTGGTAAATTCCCCTTCCTTCTGGACATCTCTACATTCTCTCTTCTGGGGTACTGGCTACACTTGGCTAGTGTGTGACTGAGGTCTGTAGAGCAACAAGAAAGGCTTTGGAATCAGGATGACCCGTTACAATCTCTGGGTGAAAGAATCACTCACCTTCTCTTGCATCAGGTTGCTAATCTGTGATATAGAGACAATAATTCATTTATTCATCAAATATTTATTTATTTTTTCATCAAATATTTATTAACTGCCCATCATTGACCTTGTCTCTGATGTACAGAGTTGAGCATGAAAGGCAGGCAATTAAGCAATTACAACATAGTGTGGTAGAACTAAGATCAATGCATTATAGAACCATGTAGATGGCAGGGAACCTAATCTGGCCAACATACAAGGAAGGAGCTGGAGTCAGTGAGACAAAAGAGAAAAGGCTGAAAATGTGAACATGTAGGCAGAAGAAACAACATGTACACTGACCTGGAGGTTAGAGAGCAGGCTCAGGGCCCTTGGGAACTGAAAGTATTTCAGTCAGGCTGGGGAGGGGAGTGAGGCTGGGAGGAGAGGAAGGAAAGAAGAGAGGCCAGATCACAAAGGCCTTGGCAATTGTGAGGCAGATTTGGGACTTAATCTTAAGAATGATGGACCTCTGAAGGTTAGAAACAGAAAAGGCATGAGGAGGATGTGTTTTAGAAGGGTCATTCTGGCTGAGAGTGAATTACAAACAGTGCGGGATGAAGAACAGTAAAGAGGCTTTTGTGATCCCGTGGATAGAGAATGGTAGCTTGGACCAGAGTGATAGGAGTAGAATTGGGAGAGTCAAGAGATTTGAGAGAGCTGGGGATGGTGACACATGCCTGTAATCCCAACACTTGGAAGGCTGAAGCATGAGGATTGAACATTCGTCTCACATGGGCAATTTAACAGTATCCTGTGTCAAAAATAAAAGGGGCTGGGAATATAATTCAATGCAAAGGCCCTTCAGTCCCAAGTGTGTGTGTGTGTGTGTGTGTGTGTGTGTGTGTGTGTGTGTGTGTGTGAGAGAGAGAGAGAGAGATTTAAGAGGTAGATGATGGGCAGGATTTGTGGGAGTCAGAGAAGAGAGAGCAATTAAGGCTGACTCCTAGGCTTCTGGTTTAGGCAGTGGATAGCTGGGGGTGCTGTTTATTATCAAAGGGAGCATCAGAGCTGGGTGTGGTGGTGCACCCCTATAATCCCAGCACTTGGGAGGCTGAGGCAGGAGGATCACCACAAGTTTGAAGCCAGTCTGGGCTACATAGTGAGATCCTGTCTCAAAAAAAAGAAAAGGAACCGCCTGCTGTGCAAGCGCAAAGACCCGAGTTTGATCCCTGGTACCCCCCCCCTCGCAAACAAAAGGGGGCTGGGGATTTAGCTCAGTGGTTTCGCCGCCTGCTGCACAAGCACAAAGACCCAAGTTCGATCCCCGGTACCAAGAAAAAGAAAAAGAGCCTCAAAGCTGTTAGTGCACAGCGTCAGGCAAATAGTGTAAGAACCGGGTGAAGGTTAGCCACAAATATTATCATGGGTTCAGTTTTGGATGAGTAGTTCTGGCCAGATGTTCAATGGGAAAAACACCACTAGGGTCCCTTTATTACTGGTGCCTTTCAGAAGAACTTTAGTTAAGCTCAGCACCTGAAGGCAGACGATCAGGCAGCATTCAAATACTTTCTGAGGGCCTTTTTCAGTCATTCTGGTGTATAGCTTGCTTCCTAAAAATGGCAGGAAGCCTTCACCTCTCACAGCGCTTTCTAAGGTAGGAGCTCATCTGAAGCCTATAACAATTCCGAGGTAGTATGGGCAGACACGAGCCCCTTTGACATATGGCTAATCTCAAAAGAGATACAATTATTCGCACAAGGTCATGAGGGTCTGATGTGCCTGGAAATTAGGTTTTCCTGACTCCAAAGCCTAGGCTCCTTCCACTGCACCACTATGCAGATTAACTTATTGAGCCATTTATGTGCCATTTACAGCCATTAATCTCTGATCCTCAAATTCGAATTACTGCCATTTTAGAGTGGCAGAAAGTGAGGACGGAATGGGTATTAAATGACTTGCCAAAGATCACTCAGACAGGAAGGGCAAAGCTAGGATTAGTTAGTAATGTTCCAGCCGTTCAATAGCAGGGATTTTGCTAACCCCACTGCAAGACGCTGGCTGGTGACGGAATAAACATTCGCTCGACCTAAGCAAACCTGGTTTTATTTTGGTTTTTTTGTATTGTTTGGTACCGGGGATCGAACTCGGGACCTTGCGCTGTGAGGCAGGCGCCGGAACCACTGAGCTAAATTCCCGGCCCGCAAACCTGGTTTTATAAAAAAAAATTTTTTTTTTTAAGCAAGAGCCGAAACTCATTTATTGATGATTTTTTTTTTTTTTTTGTACCGGGGATCGAACTCGGAATCCTGCGCTTGCGAGACAGGCGCCGGAACCACTGAGCTAAATCCCCACCCTAGAAAAAAAAATTTAAAAGGCAGCACAGCTGCGCCTGCGCAATAGCCGTAGGGGCGGGAGGTCAACTCGAGGGCAAGAGGGAGGAGATGCCAGAGAAGGCGTGCCTGTTTCCCAAAATCCCACTTTCCCCAGGGTGAGCGTCTGTCCCAGGGTTGGCCTGTCTGATACGAGTGACGGCGTCATTTAACCAATCATCTCAGAACCTAGCTAATTGCCGGGTGAAGTAGCGCCCGCCTCTCCAGCGGAAGGGGATTTGCTGGTGAGTGGGACCGGAACTGACGCTACAGGTGAACGCAATGCTTTGGGAGTGTTGCTATTTTCCAGGTGGTCCGGCTGACTGCGTTCAAGTTGAGAGCTTGGAGGAAAAGCGTCCGAATCGTGCGGAGGACAGGCTCCGCTGTCTTTTCGCCGTGCCTGCGCTCGCGACTCAGAACCTCAGGGAGAGAAGTGAAGAACAGAACGGGGCGGAGAAGGCTGGGAATTAAGAGTGTGGACTTTGATATTTGAGACTGAGGGCACCGGAGGGCGAGCGCTCCCCTCTGATTGGCCGGTAGACGCCATCAGGAATCCACACAACTTCTTCGATTGGTTGGTATTCGCAATTGTTGTGCCGGTGGCGGCGATTTTTGCCCACGTACTTCCGAGCGAGAGGCGGGGCTGTGGCCGTGCGCATGCGCAGGGCCCTGGGACCCCACCCGGTAGTTCAAAAACCTGCGAGGGGGCGGAGCGAAGAGGTGCTTGTTTTGGTTCTGTTTCCTTTGAAGCAGAATCCCGGAATGAGATAACAATAAACTTGCTGGACTTGCAGAGAAGGCCACGAAAAACTCGCTGCGGTGCCTCCGTATTGGACTTCGCATCCGGTTTCTCCTCCGGGTGTGACCTGCGTACCGCCGAGAGTTCTGGAGCCGGTGCTGCGATCTCTTTATCCGGGTCTCGCTGTTCCCGTCGTGCTTCGCGCACTACTGTAGCCCCCCCCCCCAAAATCCGGGTTTTCTCCCGGCGTGCCTAGCGACGGGTTTGCTGGGGGGTACTCGGCAGTACCGCCATGACTATTCTCCCCAAGAAGAAGCCGCCGCCTCCCGATGCCGACCCCGCCAACGAGCCACCGCCGCCCGGGCCGCTGCCCCCAGCGCCGCGGCGCGGAGGGGGTGTGGGCGTGGGCGGCAGTGGCACGGGCGTGGGTGGGGGAGATCGCGATCGTGATTCGGGCGTCGTAGGGGCCCGTCCCCGGGCTTCACCACCACCCCAGGGCCCGCTACCTGGGCCACCGGGTGCTCTTCACCGCTGGGCGCTGGCCGTCCCACCTGGCGCAGTGGCGGGCCCTCGGCCACAGCAGGCCTCTCCACCTCCTTGCGGGGCTCCTGGTGGTCCCGGCGGCGGTCCGGGTGACACTCTGGGTGGAGCAGCGGCGGGGGTGGGCGCGGCGGGGGTGGTGGTGGGCGTGGGCGGTGCCGTGGGCGGCTGCTGCTCTGGTCCTGGGCATAGCAAGCGGCGGCGCCAAGCTCCTGGGGTTGGTGCAGTTGGCGGGGGCAGCCCGGAACGTGAGGAGGTCGGTGCAGGCTACAACAGTGAGGATGAATATGAAGCGGCTGCGGCACGCATTGAGGCCATGGACCCTGCGACCGTCGAGCAGGTAAGGACAGGAGGGTGAGGACTTGTCAGGCATGGCCAGTGGGACCCACAGACTGAGGAGGGCCCCCACACATGCTGTTTGCAATTGCTCCAAGGGACCTAGGCCCTGTTCTGGAGGCTGATGTTTTCTGATGGGAGAGGCATGAGACACCCTGTGTTCTTTCACCCAAGACTTGGGGTTGGACGTCTCAGATAAAGTGGGAGGCTTAAACATGGGGTCTGAGGCCTCTTTTAGGGCATATAATTGTCATTCCAGGCCCCAAAACCTCATATGTAAGAGTTTGGAATTCCCCTGGTGCCTCAGGCAGGATGGAGCCCTTCCTGAAAGGGAGGTCTTGTGAGTCTCGGGTCTCTTCAAGGGACTCAAGTCTGTTCAGTGGCTTGAGAGCTTTTTTTCTCTGGGGTAAGAGTCCTAAGATTTCCTCTCCAGGGAACTCAAGGTGGTGACTTCAGCAGTGGGCCCAGAGCATCCCCAAAGAACTCAACCTTCCAGGAGTCAAAGACCTTCTTCGTATAGGGTGACTTTCCTCTTCTTCAGCAGGATGACAAGATCACTCAGCAGTGGAGCCTTAGACCTCAGAGTTCTTCAGCTTGCCTTCAGGGGCCTGACACTCCCTCTTGGAATTAGAGGAGTTTCCTGTGCTTTTCTCCAGGGATAAGATGTCTTTTGGGAAGATAAGATTATCTCCCCCTTGGGGACAAGTGCTAAAACCAATATTCAGGGACTAGAGATTATTTCAGTGCTTGATAGTCCTCTTTTTTTTTTTTTTTTTTGGTACTGGGGATCAAACTCGGACCTTGCGCTTGCAAGGCAGGCGCCAGAACCACTGAGCTAAATCCCTGGACCTTGATAGTCCCCTTTCTACATGACGGGGGTCTGTGTTTCCTATCAATGGCCTCAGACCTCACTCCTTGGAGGCCAAGCTCTGAACCTTTCTCCAGAATCTTAAGCTTCTGAGTGATGGGCTCTTGGCCTCTCAGTTCCCACCAAAACCTTGAGCCTTTTTTCCTTTCTCTTTCTTCAGCAGAATGAGAATTTGTATACTGGGGCTTAAGGGTTAGTTAGGCTTAGGGTTAGGATTAGGCTTAGGGTTAGAGTTATGGTTACGGACTGAGGCTTTTAGAGACTGGATCCGAGGCCTCTTTGGGGGTCTGACACCCTATTGCAGAGGTTCTGGGCCAGGGGAGTTCTTTAGGAAACCTTTCACTTTGAGGGACTGGTATCTGAGTGTTCCTGGGGGTTTGAAAACCTTCCCCCACAAGAATGAGAGACCCTTTTACCTCAATTACAAGAACTAAAATGTACCTTGAGGATTAACATCCCATCTTTTTCTGAGGGCCTCTTCTTGTCCTTCAAGGACTTCTTGTCAGGAACATGACCTTGCCTTGGGAAAACCACTTCTTGGGATAGTGGACAGTGGGCAGTGTAGGGTTCTGTGGGGGAGGTCTGAGGCCTCCTTGTGGGTCTAACCCTACCTTTTAAATGTCTGAGACCCACTCTGCTAAGGACACTTGAGGTTTCCCTTAGGGGCAGGAGACTCAATGTATACCCCAGTGACTGCATCTCTGTAGATGAGTCTGAACATCCACAAGGAACTTGAGGTGCCCCTTGGGGACAGGATGACTCACCACCAAAATTGAGTCCTGACATTCTTCCCTTTCGAAATGGATGTAGGGTCCCTCAGGAACAGGGTCTTGAGGTCCCTCTCATGAGCATTTGAATTTCACCTTAGGTATGTCAGGGTCTAATCCCCACCTTAAGATCTGAGACCTGAATCTGCTCCAAGAGTACTGATGATCATCTCACTTTAGACAACATACATATACCTTAGTCATAGGGACCTTTTAGGAATGTTAAGTTTCCTGCTTTGGGGATTTGGCCGAATTCCCACACTGGGGGACATGGGTAGATTGAGATTCTGAGGAAGAGTCTGGGCCTCTTCCCGGGGGCCTGAGCCATTTCTTTTAGGGACTAGAGATCCTTTCCCTTGGGGATTGAGGCCTGAGCACCCCCACCCCCAGGCATGAGGCTCTCCTACCACAACAGGTGATATTCTCTCACCTGGGAGAGGACAGGAGGTCATCTTCAGTGTTGCTGGACAGAAGGACCTTGGTGCTCTTCAGGTCAGGTCAGGCCTCCTTAACCTGAGCCCCTCTCAGGTCAGAGCCAAGAAGATACCCCTATCTTCTGGGGAAAGGTCAGGTCCTGGAGCCATAAAGTTTGAAGCTTCCCTTCTGACGCTGAGAAAGATTTCTCACCTTGTTCAGCTGTGCTTCTAGGGGCTGAGAAAATAATCTAAGCTTGGAACTCCTTTTGGTAAACCTTTCTCTGTTTAGAGATAGGAAAGGGGTTGGGGCATGTCTACTTCTGGGAAATTCTCCCACATACTTCTCCCCTTTGACTCAGGTAAATCTGTATTTTACAGTGGCCAGGGACTGGTAGCCTTGGAACCCCCTTTTCTTGTTCCCTTCACAGCCATAATTTTTGGCAGAGCAAATTATCTGGAGTCACAGGGTCAGAACCAGGAGTTGTTTTTTTCTCTCCTGGTTGGGGTAAAGTCTCTCCCTCCTTCCCATGAAAGAAGCAGCAGTCATATAGCCCTGGTCCCTGGAGAGAGAAGGTACTGTTGCCACGGTAACACAAAAAGCCACTTCCTTACACCCTACAGTCCCACCATTACACTTGTCCCCATAAGAACTTAGAAAGCTCTGTGGGATCATTAAACCTTCCAATTACAGGGGAGAGACCGGTCCACTTCTTGGAAAGAAAAGGAGGAAAAAGATGGTCTTTTTCTCTCTGCTTCACTTGGCCCAGCTTGGGACTGTTTGGAGATGAGAGGAGGGGAGGTGCTTCCTGTCACCCAAATCTTGTTCTGAAAATGTCACCAAGGGTGGTTTATTTTTAAATTTTTTAAATTGTTTTTTGAGACAGGGACATGCTACATAGTTCAGGCTGATCTTGAACTCACTATGTACCCCAGGCTGGCCTCAAACTTGCAGGGATCCTCCTGCCTCAACCTCCTGAGTGCTGAGATTACAGGCATGGACCACTCTGCATGGCTACCAAAGGTGTTTGTAGCCTGGAGGCCAGTGGGACCCCTTGGGCAGAGGGGTATATTGAGAGGGAGTCTGGATGGTAAATCTGGTCCAGATTCTGCAAATGTACCCCTACTCTCTTTAGGACTCTTTCTGCCACTCTGGGGTCTAGGTGCTGGGGAGGCTGTCCTTTCCCAGGCATGGGCACCTTGCTGAACCTACTCTCTGAAAAAGATGGCTTGTAGGCATCCTGAGTTTGGGAATCCCACAGAGCTCTTTTGAGAAGAGGCGTGCATGCATGCTGAGGTGGTGGAAGAACCTGGGTATCATCCAGGATGGGTTCCATCTCTGGGCTTGTCAGGTTTTGCTGTGTGAATTAGAAGAGGTTCTTTGGCTGGGATTTTAGCTCGGTGGCACTGCGCCTGCCTTGCCAGTGCAAGGTCCTGAGTTCGATTCCCATTACTGCAAAAAAATTAGAACAGGTTCTGCCTGTGCTTCATGTACCTCAGTATCCTTGATGCTCAGGTAATGGGCTGTGAGGTGCTGTTTAGCTTTGGGATTTTAGGGAACTCGGTCCAAAGCCTTCTGGACCTGGAGGTAACAGTGAATTGTGGGTGTTTTTTGAGGAGGAACTGGGTTCCCTCTCCCTCTGTCTTCTCTCCCAACCATCCAGGCAGGCTTAGCAGGCAGGACAAATGACCTGTGCAGGTTTGATGGGTGGCAATTTTTTTTTTCTTTTTTTTGTACCAGGGATTGAACTTGGGACCTTGCGCTCACAAGGCAGGCGGCAGAACCACTGAGCCGAATCCCTGCCCCAATAAACACATACTATTATTATAATAATTATTATTATTATTATTATTTTTTGGTGCTGGGGATTGAACTTGGGTCCTTGCGCTTGTGAGGCAGGCAGCTGAACCACTGAGCAAATCTCCGGTGATGGGTGGCAATTTTTGTGGCCAGCTGTGCTGTGGTGAATAAGCTCAGTGGGCTTGCCTTTAGAGAGCCTGCTGGATAGTGTGGAGAGTTGAATGTGGAAGTTTGGACTTCGGAGCTGGCCAGGCTTGAATTCAAATACCAGTGTCTCCTGCTGAGCTGTTTTATGGCTGTAGTTAAAATACTCCCCTTTTCAGCTGCCTTTTTTTGTTTTTTCAGAAACCCATCCCTGTCCAGGATTATTGAGTGATATCTTGACTTTGCCCATTTTGGACTTTGGCTGGTTCTTCCTCTTGCCCAGAATGGGCAGTTTGTCCCCAGACCATCTTGGTTTTTCCTAGGAGCTTCTGTGCACCTCTAGGAACCTATCACTTGGTATCTAGGAATCTGCCGATTCCTTGAGCTCTTTTTACACCATCTGGAATTGGGTAGCTGGAGGGGTAGCATAGGGGGGTGTGGTCCTTGCCTAGGCAATGTAGATTTGTGCCCTGTATCTGCACTAAGCTTTTGTTGTTGTTGTTTTTGGTACCAGGGATCAGAACTCAGGACCTTGTGCTTGTGAGACAGGCACGGTGCCACTGAGCTATATCCCCAGCCCTGTTTGTTTGTTTGTTTGTTTTTTGAGACAGTGTCCTACTATGTAAGTCAGGCTTGACTTGAACTCATGTGACCCAGGCTGGCCTTGAACTAACCTCCTGCCTCAGCCTCTCGAGTGCTGGGATCACAGGTGTGCACCACCATGCCCAGCCTGCACTAAGCATTTGTGTAGTCATCTGGCAATTTTTTTTCTGGGTCTTTGTTTCTCCATCCATAAAATGGGTAGTGGTGAGGAAGGAGGTCAGATTCATTACAGTCTCTCTACTAATTCCCTGTTCCTTACTCCCCTACACTGTATGAAAGTTTTAAGTGGGGGATGTTGACTTTAGGAAATGTGTCACCTTTTCAGGGATGTGCTATGACTGTTTTTGCGGGGGTGGGGTGGGGGGTGGGGTTGGTACTGGGGATGAACTCGGGAACTTGTGCTTGCAA